CCACCCATCTGTTATTGAACAATCCTAAAAGAAGGACAAATATGAGATTCTCTAAACAAGAACAAGTCTATTTCTTAGAATTGGAATCGAGTTTGTATTTTTAGTATTGCGATCACACAACTCCTGACATCGCCCTGTTTGCTTTGTTCTAACCTTCGATAGCAGACTATATACACACGCTTGATTCACCGAATGCAAATGTACAAAACAAAAACGGAATTATTAGCCACAATTCTATTTTGTTGGAACACCACTCACATCGGCGCTAAGACATGTGTGTATTTGAACTGCACAATAAACTGCCTTTTGATTCCCCCTTCATCACAGGCATTGTTGGCATGTCCTCTATTGAACAGGCAGGTTGTATTTCCAGGGAATACTTGAAAATGAAGCGGGCTTGGGCAGCCCTATTAGAACATGGGCTGCACTGGGGACACCTCTAAAAAAGCTCCCATTGTTTACTCTCTCCCCAGTCATTTGGCTCTTTCCTTTCATCTGCTGCTCTACAATTTTACCCCCCTCTGCCATCTCCCCCCTTTAAATTATCTGCCCCCCCCCCCTCCCATCTACCCTTTAATACTCCCTAACACCTAATCGTTCAGCCATTTTTTCCATTTCTTTCTTTCATTCACTCTCCATTTCTTGTTTTGTATGCGAGCCCCAAGGGAGAGGAATGGGTGAACAGCACTCTCTCTGCGCCACTGTCACAAAAGACTGGTGAGTCATCAGCACTTATGTTCCCGACTGCCTCCTCCCACAAACACACACACACACACAAGAAGGAGAAGGGAAAAAAAATAATACTGAAATTACTTAGTACCTGCCACACATTTACAGGAAGACATGCACTCAACTGACCGGTAAATACTCTGAAAGATGTTGAAGAAAAATCCATGTTATAAAAGATAAAGTATTTGGAGCTTGGGTCTAATTTACGTTTGAGCAACATAAAGATAATACTAATAAACTGTATGAAAATAGAACACAAATTACATATGATACCGTTTACTACATGTTGTAGTAATTACAGGCCAGATGATTTTAGGCCTAAAACTTAGGCCTTCTACTGCACAAAGTAAGTACACAAGACTGAACAACACTGTAGATCTGAGCCCTGATATTGAGGGATAAAGAAAATTCTATTTAAATGCTATAATTTCCATTTGGTTGGAAGTAAATGTTTCTATATGATGTAAGTAAATCCCACCCATGGATGTATAATTATTGAAGCATTTGCAGCTAACAAAGAAACATAGCAGCTACTTATATTGTATATTATGTGTGCTCCATGTGTGCTCTTACTACTACTGTCCTGTATGGTCGCTGCAACACTGACATTTCCCCATTGTGGTACGAATAAAGTATTTCTTATCTTATCCTATTATCCATGGTAGTATCCCATCATAAATAGTTGTATTTTTATGACGACTTCTTCCTTCTGAGGGCTGATTGGCTGAAAACTGGTCAATGAAAAAATATATATCCATCCAACATGGAGGCCGAAAGAATCATTCTAGGACAGAGTTTGATACCGGGGCATATCTACACTGTCATCTGAACGTGATAGTTTATACCCCCCATTTAGTAAGAAGTGAGAAAATATATATTGTAACTAGTCTAAATAGTCCCGGTCAGGAGCAAGTGTGCTAGGCCCAGGTGAGGGAGGCCTGGACCGAGTGACTTTTACCTTCAGAAGAACACGTGTTGACAACATTACGTCTTCTCTTCGTGGCTTCTGGACTCTCATTGCTTACATCTGGAGAACGCATAAACGGTAAAATTGTTTGAATTGATTAGCCGCGCTACAATTGATAAATTCACTGTTTGAAAAAAGTCATTACCTGTAGTACTCACTAGTAGCAGAACCTTTGTGTCTGCGCCCCCTCTGCTGGTAGAAGGCCGCAATTACAACACATAATACACAACGTGTCAAGTTCACAGTCTACACTCTACTTTATACTTTGTTTTTGTTAGGGAAGCAAAGCTGTTTTGTCAAATTTAAATGTTTACCAAAATGCAGAATTCTGAATTGTATTGTGATAAATAGAGGTGGAGCCGTCTAGGGATTACGAGTCTGCCCCTTTTATTGTTTGTTATTGTTTTAATGTGTTTTGTATTTTTGGGACAGTACTTATTTTAATTCTTAGTTATAGCAGCATAAGAACTGAGATTTTTTTTTTAAATATATATATATATAAGCTGTAACCCATCCAATACATATAGTTTGTCCAAACTTTTTGTTGGAGTAAAAGTATAAAGTGAGAAAACAGAACACAATCCGATGTCTTCATCTTATTCGAAAATATTTTGTCCTGGGGTCACTAGTTGACTCTCTGGGCGGATAGCTGATTGGCTGAGTCAGGGTAGTCCTCCCTTTTGTACTTTTCTTTCTGAAAAACAGCTCTTAAGATGTGACAGAGGCCAAACATACATGCATGGGAAAACTGAATAGACCCAAAATGCTTTTAGAGTCAGGAACTAATGACATGGATTTTATTACATACCGGTAGTTCCATTGTTGTGATCTGAAAGTTGGACACCCCAGCTTTAACCTGAACAATTTAAGCATTTAAATCTTGCATGATGGTCCTGCATATGATATCTCTGTGGGGTGTTACTCATGTCAAAGCCTGCTTCACAAGGGGCACATTAGAACCCTCATCTGATTAGTCCTTACAGAAAGCTTGTGAGCCATTCAGACACATCAATTATTGAAGATTGGAGTTTCCGTTTCACACACACACCCAGTGGGCGGTCCCAAGCTGCTCAGGTATACACCATGCAAAGAAGACAGAGGCTTGAAGGGGGAAAACCCCAAGAAAGAGATTGGGATTGCGGAAAATAAATCAAATAATTGCCAAGAGCAGTCATTGAAGGGGGCATATGAGCGGGTATGGAGGAAGAAAGGGTGGAACCAGAGGAAAGTAGCCAAAGGTAAGACAAGGAGAGAAGGATGTTTTTGTACAGCCATGTAACAGTAGAGGCTTGGTCTGCCTAATCAGCTATTGGCAGATAACCCAGACACTTAAGAGGGCATGTTTTACAAAATTTGTGTGTTTCTCTGTTCAACTCTAGTGACATTCAACTAGAAGGGGACACCGATAGAGCAGAGACTGAGAATTCTGAAACAGGTGCTGACAATATTCCACAAAGTTGTGGCAGTAGTGATGAGGTGATTACCAATCAGGTAATTCGGGCTATACTTTTCAGATAAATATACAATCGCAAACGGTAAAGTTGAGCTAGTGTATGCTGAATACTTATCTAGTAGCCACCTGTAAATACTTTGGAATAGTGTTATAACATACAACATTTTGGTTTAAACTTGTGCCCAATATTGTGTTTTGTGCTTTTTGTAAGTGTGTTCCAGATGATGAACAGTCCGGCAGTTATGCCACACAGCAAGAGATTCCAAACGCTGAGGGCAACACTGAAGACCTCCCACCTTCAAACCCTCCTGCAGAGCACAATGAGACCCCCCAGACAGAAGCCAACCAGGAGCCTACCACCCTGAGTGAGTGTTGCACACTCTAAATATAAATATATATATTATTTGTGGGACAGGTGCCAATACAAGTCAACGGGAAAATAAAAATAAATAAATAAATAATAATAATAACCCAGATCTCTGTTTGATAGCAATTTCAAACCCACCGTATTATTAGTATGTCTGAATGTTTTTTCTACTGGCCAACATCAGGCATATGTTTTTGATCATTGTCATCACTTCTAGAGAGATTTTATGAGAAAATAACTAAGGGCTTAGTTGATATGTACTGACAAAGATGTGGTACTAGGAGTCTGACTTTTCTCATTTACCATAGTTTCCATATAACTGAATATAATCCATATAATTCCACAATTAGTGGAATTACATGGAAATAGATAATATTTTATATAAAAATAATATATAAATAATTTTTTTATTAATTCTGTTTACTGGTTACTCTGATGTGTAATAATGGTTGGTGTTGATCAGTGAGTCGGGTGGTGCCCCGCTGTCCGACATTCTGCCCCCGGGCAGTTGAGGCCACACCACTGTGTGTGAAATCAAGAAATAATGCATAGCATTGTTATGTGTATTTTAGACATTGTCTGTGAAAACCAGCATAAAGATTGCTTACTTTGATATCAATTGCATACCAAATAGGATTTTTCTTTAAAGTGGTGAACATTTGGTGCACCCATCTAAACCACAGCACAAACATTAAATCCAATAGTAACCTTATTTAAGACTTAGTTTGAAAGCAATGGCCACAAACTATCCTCTTTACAGTCCGTGTCCCGGAGCCCTGCTGGTACTGCCTGCGATCCCTGGACTCACAATATCGTCCTCAGATTCCTGAACAGGTATCAGACTGATTTAATTTCTGCTAGTAGCATTTAAAATGGAAAACATATGAATAATTTGTCACTCAGTTAGTGTATACTGTATGTAATGGGATCTTCAAAGGGACAAACATAAAATCTCCAGTCTGAGAGTTGTCCACTGAACAGAAACAGCAGATGAAATTTCATGACTCTTTTCTTTGTTGCAATTTTAATGCACTCTGATAACACAATGGAAAATCTGTCCTCTGATTCTGAAAAGCATTAGTTTGTCATTGTCATTTGGTTAATCTACTATTGATAAAACCAGAAAATAACATAAGCATCAGGTGGCCAGTCGTGTCTCAACATAAGCCATAGTAATTACACGGCACAAACAACACGATCAGTGTTTTCCCACAGTTGACTTTAGATCGTGTTTTTTTACCCAGGAAAAATATAGAAGTTGCCCCATATCTAACATTCAGATAGCCTGAGCATCACGTGGAAAAACTGACTTCTTCGTCAATAGGAAATATCATCTGTGGACTCTTATAATGACTAGCTCTGTTTAAACAGCAGCATCAAAAGTCACATCAAGATCTGGTTCAAATATAAAAGAAGTCTCTTTTTGTTGGGACAAACAAAATGTTTTTTTTTTTTATGCCTACACATTTTTGGTCTTGTTTCAGGAAGAATCTGATTCTGCAGCTGCAGCGCTCTCTAGTGGAAATCAGAGGATCATGTACCAGACAGACCCCAGGCCACACTTTGGAGTGGCCTGGTCGTCCCACGCACCAGGACACCCTCTGTGGGACAGTGAGGGACCCTGCTGGGGACAGAGGAACACAGAAATGCCCAATCCCACACACACCTGCCCCCACTGCCATTTGGGGCTTACAGCTGACACCCTGCGCTGGCATGAGGTTAGCACTCACTTCACGTTGGCCTAAATATAGAAGCATCACACAGGACAAATGTTTACCAGACTTTTGTTTTCCCTCTGCACAGGCCAAGTGTCTGCTGTTTGAAGAGCTGAGGGCTGTTAAGAAATAAACCACCATTCAAGTGGTTGTTTGGTTGTACTAGTATGAGTAGTAACAGTATTTGTAGTTGTATTTTTTATTATTATTATTATCTATGTATTGTTATTGTTATTACTAATAATATGATTATTATTATTGATGTATTATGCACGGCCCATGTTCTGTTGTAAAATGTGCATTGCCTGTGCCTGACTATGAAGAATTGGACTGAGGGCATTGAGGATGTTTGTAGGAATCTGGAGGAGATTCATAAACTTACTTCATGCGGCAGGGATGCTGCAGTACAGGGTTGCCACCACTTACATTTATCATGACATGGCCTGTAGATGTGACTCTAATATATATAATACATTTAAAATGATTACTATTTGCTTTTTGTCTAGCTGCCTCTGGATGTGTGTGTGTTTGTAATGCCTTAACAAGGCATTTTAGGGTTAATATACAATTAATTGCCCTTCCAGCCGTAGTCATAGTAAGTTTTATCAGCATTTGTAGGTCGATTTGATTTCTAAAATCCTCTGGGTCGTAAAACAGAATCATTCTCTGCAATGTTATTGGTTGGTAGAAATACGTGTCACGTGACATGATAAAGCACTATGTGGTGTAGGAGCCAATGGCGCGCCTCCTCGCTGACCCCCTGACGTTACATTGTAGCTCCTGTTTGTTGTCCTGTGGCTCTCAGACTGTTTGAGAGGTGCACACCTCTGAGGAGTCATGTCGTCGCTTTTTAAACCGTTTTCATGCGAAGGAACGCGCAAAGATCGTGGGGATGCAGCCGAGCATCACCCATTTCATCATCCTCCGTCTCAGCTGCTGTCTGCCGCCACAGGGCTGGGCTCTCTGCCGCTCTACCAGCGCTCATACGCGGCCAGAAGAAATCTGGCGGCCGCTGCTGTCGGAGGAAGGAAAATAACGCATCCTGGAAAAGCTATATTAGCAGGTGCCTTCATAATTTCACCATAGAATTCTACATGAGGTTACTGTGTTGTGCGTTGCGTGGTCTGCGCACGCTAATCTGTCGCCCATTAATGGTATCAGTGTGGAAGTGGGTCAAAACAAACGCACCAGACACGGGCCACTACTGCGAGGCGTACGTCACGCTCTCATCCACTATTCAAGTGACATTTATTTGCAGAATACTAAAGCAAAAGGAGTTTATGATTTCTGACACCGACATCTAATACGACCAACCTTTAATTCAAACCATCAAACATTGTGCACATATTTACCAAGACTAATGACAGGCTTATTATAAATTATATAGCTGTGTTATTGTCCATAGTGGCTTTGACATTTGGATGTGTTTAAAAGAAAGAAATTATGTTAATCTGACAAATTTGGACAAATATTTAACATGATTGAATGTGCTTTTTACTGTAGGAACCCTTTCTTCTCCTGGAAAAGTGAGTGTGTGCCTTCTCCTTTCAGGTGGCCTTGCTGGAGCAATAGAAATCTGTATCACATTTCCCACGGAGTATGTGAAGACCCAACTGCAGCTGGATGAGAGAGCAAACCCACCCCGGTACAGGGGCATTGGTGAGGCTGACAACTGCAGAACTATGTGTTGACATTCTCAATTTGTGTTAATGTTTTGTCATGTTTGATTAATGACAACAAAACCAGGTTTGTTAAATCCTTAGAGACAATTTTTGTATGTTTTTGGGCTTTACAAAAAGAATGGATTTGATTTGGAGTTTGGATATGAATGGTCTGTTTGTGGCTGCAGGTGACTGTGTGAAGCTGACCGTGCAGGATCATGGGCTCAGAGGGTTGTATCGAGGGCTCAGCTCTTTGCTTTACGGATCAATACCAAAGTCTGCAGTCAGGTGATCACCCAATATACACATTTAAATCAATACATCAAAAAAGAAAGTGCGAGGACCAGCAGATTAGTATGGCAACATATGAATAAGTCTCAAAATCTTCAAGTATTGTGTGAAACTTAAAGATTCATTGCAGATAGTGTGATATTTTAAGACTTTATATAAAATAACGGATTCGTCTGGTTCTCACTACTGTGGGGTACTTATGTGCTTCAACAGATTTGGCACATTTGAGATGCTCAGTAACCCTATGCGTGACTCCACGGGCCGTTTGGATAACAAGCGAAGTCTTGTGTGTGGGCTCGGAGCAGGGATTGCAGAGGCCGTTTTAGTGGTTTGTCCAATGGAGACACTGAAGGTCAGTGGCCTGGTTGTTTTTCATTGTCTGAAATATAACACTGGTTACTAATAACAGTTATTCATTAATTTATAGGTGAAGTTAATCCACGATCAAAGCTCACTTAGACCTCGATACAGAGGTTTTTTTCATGGAGTTAGTGAAATTATACGAGAACAAGGTAAGTTATTTTGTACTTTTTATGATTATTGTTGAAGAATCAGAATCAGTTTATTTTCTGCTTGCAGTTAAAAACCACAAATAAATAGTTAATAATATTGTAAAAAGAAAACTAAACAAAAACAATGTCCTAAAAGTCCAAGAAACAATTGACACTGTTAAAAAAAAAGGAGCCTTGATTGAGTCTATAGTCATCAAGAGCCTCATCAGCAGCTCACAGTTCTTAGCAATCTTCTTTGTTTTTTTGTCTTTTTAAGGAATAAGAGGCACATATCAAGGTCTGACGGCAACTGTGCTAAAGCAGGGAACAAATCAAGCAATTAGATTTTATGTGATGACATCTTTGCGGAATTGGTACAAAGGTAAATCCCTCTGTTCATATGTATGAATGTTGTTTTGTTAAGTAAGTGTGATTTTATTAATTTGAAATACTGCTTACAATGAAAATACATAGAATGGATTGATTTAATGAATGTTGTTGTCTTAAACTAACATTTTAGGTGATGATCCCAGAAAAGAAATGCACCCTATTGTCACTGCAATGTTTGGAGCGACAGCTGGAGCTGCCAGTGTTTTTGGAAATACTCCTCTTGATGTAGTGAAGACAAGAATGCAGGTATAGTTTAAATTATAGCAAAAAACAAAAGTTATTTCCCTAATATTTTACGTTGAAATGTCATGCTTCGTTTTAGGGATTGGAAGCACATAGATACAGAAACACATTTGACTGCGCCTTTCAGATCATGAAGCATGAGGGGCCGCAGGCGTAAGTTCTCCTCCCCCTAATGCTGGTGACTGCTGTGTGTATACCACTTAACCTGTTGTTCATCCCTCAGTTTCTACAAGGGGACAGTGCCCCGGCTGGGCCGAGTGTGCCTGGACGTAGCCATCGTCTTTGTAATCTATGAAGAAGTCGTCAAACTACTCAACAACGTATGGAAGACCCAGCAGTAAACTAGGCCTTTGTGAGGAAAGCAGTGCCTCCTACAACTCAACACCTCTACAGAAGTCCACAAGGGAAAAACACCTGTTTTAATAAGACAAAGGCTGCAACTGGATTCAGAAAAAATACACCTTTGTTGTGCTTAACTGACCGTTTAGGAGACTGGGCAGTTACAGGTTTGGTTGAGAGGACTCTTATAAAATTGTGTTTAATGTAACTTAGATCAAAGGTAATGCCACAAAGGTCCGTACAATTGAGAAAGTGCAAGGAAAGAGAAGGAATTCAAGAGGATTTTTTAAATGAATTTAGATGCAGCCAGTCTTTAAACAAGTGAATTATTTGGTAACACCCTAGCCTGGTTTTACCACCAAAAATTTAATTTTGTTCTAAGGGTACATGTGGGGAAATAATAATTGCTAAAGCCAGGCTAGTAACACTCTAAACAAATCAAAAACATACAAATACTTTTAAAATAGAAAAAACATGAACTTAATCAGACAAAAATATGCTACTTCATGTTCAATTCAGTTACCAATTACCAAAGTATGAGAGGATGCAGAAGGGACTTTTTACTGTACCATTGGTGAATCTTGTGAAGTCATTACTGTTAGACTAAAAGTTGCCTATCTCTCACTATATGATCACATGTGCTTATGTGGTGTCATCACGTTAGCATTAACAGTATCTGTGCTGTGGCTGTGTTGATGATCCTTATGCTCTTCAGTGCAAGCTTCAGATGCTAAATGTGTTCGGTGTGGCACCAGATCTATATGTACTTCAAATCTGCACTTATGTGGTACATGGATGTACACAGGCCTTTCAAACTGCATTGTGTCAGACTTTGCAATTGTTTTATTTGTACAATAGTACACACGGTAGCAAGATTTTTCTGATGCAAGTGAGGATATTTCGGTCTAATTTGTCCCTTCTAAGCCATAGGCCAATAGATTTGTTTTAACTAGTATGAAATCACTCTAAGTTTTCCTCTGATCCATTGTTTTATATATTTATATGTCCTTAACTGCACATTTCTACTACATTGCCATGTTAAGTCTTTACGCTGCTGCTTTTATAAAAAGGTGTGAATTAGGGTGTATTGTTTGTGGAAAAGGAGTTTGTATACATGATAGATTAGGTGCATAATGTTATATGCCAACATGCCAAAATTAAAAACAAAAATATATTGAAAAAAACAATGGAAATAGTTTTTTATTCAAGCTTTCAGTTGCCTTGATGTTTTACACATGTTGAATCTCGTTGTGTCGGACTGTGCTGAGCAGATTAAAGGCTGAACACAGGGGGACTACAAAGGTTTAACTTCAGACAGTATTAGCATTCCACCTGTTACTGACAGAGGCCACAAGTTCATGTAGAAAAGGTGATACTGGACGATCACTGAAGGCAAACTTCCCTTTGCCTGTAGTTGATGCACTTCAAATTTAGTATGGAAATAAACATTTTATGGTAAATCTCATAACTATTAAATGCTTGATGACACTAATGAATAGAGTCAGACCACCTCATGTCCTACAGTAGCACACTGTATATCAGTATGATCACCACGACTCTTCTTCATCTCAGCGGTGCACCATCAGGAATCAGATCGCTGATATGGTCCAGCAGTTTTATCTTCACAAGGCCAAGTAGAAATGTGTACTACCTCCTCCATCTAAAAAGTGTTTGTGTTTAAATTTAATGATCAACGGGTTGAAGAAAGAACAAAGAATAACACTTACATTCGAAGACATTTGTCTTTCCCACCACTGGCTACTCTTTGGCCATCAGGACTCCAGTCCACTGCATACACCTATATAAACATACAGGAGTGTTATCCGGAGTGATTCAGAAGCATGTATAAAACACTTCCTCACCTCATCAGCATGGCCTGGAAGGTCCATGTTGAGCTTTCCTGTTTTCATATCCCAAACTTTAAGTGTGCTGTCACTGCTGCCGCTGACTAGCAGCCGACTGTCAGCAGACCATGCCACCTGATACACAGATCCTACATGTCCACGCAGAGACATAAGGTACCTGTGGACCATTCAGGATTAGGGTTAGAATGTCCTCTGCTGGACAGCACTGGTATGACTGGGAACAGCTCAAGAACACTTACTTTCCTGTTCGTCCATCCCATATTTTAATAGACTTGTCAAAGGAAGCAGAGGCCACAAGTCTGGTGTCCGGAGAGAAGAGGACTTCATTGATCAGTGCGCTGTGGCCAGTCATCCGGGCCAGAGGCTTTTTATCCTCAGCAGGGTTCCAAAGAAAGAGTGTGAAATCATCTGAACCAGACACTAAGCGCTCAGGAGCAGCACCCTACTTACACAAAATTATTAGTGTAGCACATTGAACCTAAACCAAAGTTGACCAAAGTGGTGAACAAACAATAGGGAATAAAACATCAACACAAAATTGTAATCTAAAAATGGAAAGATGCCAGCAAAGTTAAATACCAGCGCTATCAGAGCTCAGTCTTTATCTGAGTTTTAACCCTTTAGGCGCCAGAGTTTTTTCAAGAAAATATACAATTTTGGTTTCAAGATTTCAAAAGGCTATAACTTTAAAATGGTTTGAGATAAAGGCATACTGTAAATTAGAAATATCTTCAGTCTGAACCAAACTTTGGGACGGAAGTTGATTCGTCATCTAATTTGCATATTGTGACGTCATCAAGGTGGCGGCCATTTTGGAAAATGTTAATTATTGTATAAAGACTTCAAAAAGCTGTAGCTTGGGAGTTTTTTGAGATCAGGGAATACTATAAACAGTCAATGTGAAATATCTTTAGTATGAAATGAATTTGGGATAGAAATAAATTCCCTGATTATAGATAATGTTTTAGCACTGGTTCGCTGCCATATGGAATTGTATTATTTTCAAAGACCTTCAGTGATCAAGACAGCACTCTTTATAGTTTACAGTAGGGATGTAAATCGGTGACCGTTTAACCGGTGGTTGACCGTCACAGCGTTAACCGGTCAAAGCTGTCGGTTAAAAAAGAGAAAAGGGGGAGAGGGGAGGTCTCTTCATAACGCTATTTTAAGCCCTATTTGCACGATGTGACGAGCGGGTCCCTATCTAGCTGTGTGCGCCAATGTAACAGTAAACTCTGGGCTGACTCTCACGCCGTACGCGCCACATATGCACGCACACATGTACACGCACACACACACACACACATTCCCCCCCCTCCATTGACACGTAACATCCACACGCATCATCTCTCCCCTCTGTTACCGCCTGCTAGTTGCACACTGGTGCGGGTCAGAACTACATTGGAGCTTATATTTACACACACATACATACATGTATTGCACACACACACATACACACACAGCCACCGTGCCGTGGGCGGCACGGTGGCTGAGTGGATAGCACTCTCGCCTCTCAGCAAGAAGGTCCTGGGTTCGAATCCCGGTCGGACCAGGGCCTTTCTGAGTGGAGTTTGCATGTTCTCCCCGTGTCTGCGTAGGTTTCCTCCGGGTACTCCGGTTTCCCCTACCCCTAAAAATATGTCCAATAGTTCTAGCATGCGCCTCCTGTACTCTCCCCGCTCCCATCTGTGTGGAGTGAGAGACAAATGCCCAAAAAATTAACAATTGTAAACCGCTTTGAGACTCAAATCTGCAGTGAAAAGGCGGTATATAAATAAATACTTACTTACTTACTTACTTACTTACACACAGACATACACACACACATACCGGTCTGTCGCGCTCCTCTGTGTCACGGAGCCCAAAGCATTCTTGCAAATACACGGCTCCAGTCAAACCACATGGACCATGTTTGTGCTGCTGGTCCTTGGCATCAGCTCCACACTGATCACTTTTAAACTTTAGCGGAGACCTGCGAGACGCGGCTCGTCACTCGCTGCCCTGACCATGTGGACGAGCTGTCTTTTGCTTAAAAATGCTTTAAGCCGCAGCACAGAAGAATGGGAAGATTAAAACAGCAGTTCTCTGTGCGCAAAGGTGCCGAAGCTGTTGTGGGTTTTGGCGCCGCTGTCTCGGCTCTGATCCATTAGAATGCTCAGCTGCACATATGAAAAGTACGCAGCTCGAAATGGCTGTTATTTCAAAGAACGTGGACTATTTTAAACTACGCGGTTAACCGGTTTCAACCGGTTAATGAGGCTCGGTGGTCGGTCATGAAAATTCATAGTTTTTTACATCCCTAGTTTACAGTCATAAAATCTGGAGATTGGTTTCAATATTTCCCTTTCAAAGAAGTGGTGGGCTTACTATTTTTCTCAGTGGAAATGAGGTTCCAGGATTTATCATTTAGAAACGGAGAGATGAAATGAAAGAGCACAGAACATGTCAGATCGTCTCAACAAGAAACAACAGGCTCTTCAACACTTCTGGTTCTCTTCTTTTGTGGATTATTTTCTCTCAAGAACTGCCTTCATCCTCATCATTGCCGTTGGTAAAGGCAGTGAACGCGATTAGCTATGTGTTTTTTTTCCCGCGGCTCCCCCGCGACTTCTCCCACGTCTCCCGTGTTCCCCGTGGATGTTTATCCCCGCTACTTTCTCCCACATGCCCGGTGTTATGATCCCCCTGTCCCCTCCACCACGGCCCCTGCTTGGCGTTCACAGAATGCTTCTACCGCGGCCACACGGAGGACAAGCAGCCGCTGTACAGGGGCTGATTGTGGACTATATGGCGCGGTCTCCTCGTCACCAACAATGTCCGTGTCTGCTTCACTGGACACCTGTGTGTCTTCCTCCTCTGATTCTGAGTGAGCCAGTACCAGACCAAGTACTTCTCTGGTACTGAAGAACTCGTGAGTAAAATAAAAGACCCTCTCTCCCTCTGCTCTGCTCTCGCTCCGCTCAGTACTACCGCTGCTTCTTCGCCTCCGCGCCGCTGCGCCGCAGGTGTTTTACGAACTCAATTTACTCTAAAACTTTCAATATAACCACAACCACAAATGCTGCTCATATTACAGGCACACATGTCCACTAACCCCTGGTGAAAAGTATTAACAAGATTCTGCACTACATTTTTACATACAGCCTGTTTAAGTGAGCAATGTTGCTTGTCGCAATATTGCGACTTTGGCGCTTAAAGGGTTTTAAGGCATCAAGAAGTCTCAAAGCATATACACTCAACAGGGGACTTACCCTAACTTTGTTGTATCTCTCAAGGGCTTTCTCCTTCAAGTCATCCACTAGAATGAAAAAAATGAATGCAAAAACAATATTAATGTAAAAATATTTCTAAAATACATAAACCCTTCCGTATACTTCCATATAGCAAGATACTGTATGCACATTTACGTGATGTTTAAGAGCAAATGTTTTAAGTTATTATCACCTCATCATATAATTTATTGTTTTATAATTGGAAAATACAACATAATTCCCACTTTAACAGAATTCTTCATATTCTCAGGTGGCTCAGTAGCAAAATGCTGCCATTTTCCACATGTCAATTAATATTTTGGGGTATTTCATTCCATTGGGGCTGGCTTTCAATTATGAAAATCATCAAAGTCTAACTTGCGTATACTTCAAATGAGCAGGTATACACCTCGTCAATCCTCGGGAATCTGTCCCTTCTGACGCATTTTTGTCACACACCCAAACCGTAAGATAAAAGACCAGTATGACCAGCCATTTTTAACACAGAAAAACTTACATGAGCCTTTGAGTTCTTGAGGAGTGATGGTGGCTGTTGCAGGCTCAAAAGCTCCTGTACGAAGAACGTAGTCTGTGCTCAAAGCCAATGTGTTGACCCAGTGAGCATGACCCTGGAGAGTTCTGCACTGGGCACCCTATATTCATAAACATGCATTTTTAAGTCAAATCATGGTCAAGGTGAGAACTAGTAATATGAACTACTAGACACTCATTCATTAAAAAGTTATTATTAAAACAGAGCTCATGAGGAGATTAGCTGCACCGTATCCAGGCTTGTACCCTGTACTTTTGTCTCACACTCATAAAAGCCTGTGTTCATAGGTAGCGGCTCCTTTCAACAGCTGGAAGCCTGGTTTGGAAATCACTCCACCAGTAGTCAGTGCAGCCGCTAAAGTGAAGAAGAAGTGGAAAAAACTAGATTACTTACATCTTTGGTTCTCCACACTTTTATTGTCCTGTCTTGGGAAGATGTGTACAGGAGTCCATCCCCTCCCCATTTCACACAAGTGACCGACTGCGTATGCCCGGTCAAGATTTTGTCACAGCGTCCGAGGACCGTGTCCCAAATACGCACGGAGCAATCTTTTGAGCTACTGGCCAAGTACCGACACTCTGGGTTTCTAGAAGAAAAGATCATATTAAAATTGTTAGAATCAAAATGAAAACAAAAGGCTTTTTTCAAAACTGTTTCAGTCTTTTTTTTCTCACTTCCTTCCTCATCAGATATAAATGCCCCTGGAAAAAAAAAACTTAATTCATATTTTGAAGTCAGAATAGTTATCTTTACAAAGTAAACATGACAGCATTTCCTTTATTAAATACCTATACAGCATTTTTTTGCTGATGTCAGTCAATGTGGACTATTAGTCAGGTCAGATGTGGACTTACTTCTTAATTTGTTTAGAGCAGCCTTAAAATGTGGTATCTGTGTGAGGGAAAAGGAAGAAGTTTGGAAAAGGGCCTTAAATAGATACTTACAGGTGTAGAGGTTCCCAAGAAATCCAAGTGATCCATTTGGTATGTCCAGTTAATGTCTTTCCAACCTGCAAGCCAGTCACCGGATCCCACAGAAAAATCTAAAGAATAGGGAATTTAAATAAATAATTTGTATAGTTTCCATACACAAACACAAAGTAAATGGCACAACAATGTACAAATACCTGACTGTTCTTGCACCCGGAAGCCAACTTCTTGCCATCAGGTGACCAGGAAATGCTCAGGACCCAATGTGTGTGCCCTAAAGACAAAAGGTAATTTGAACAAGTGATTCTAAACAAATTCTACATTTAAAAATGTAATGCCTTATTTCAACAGATAAAGTACAATAAAATACTCAGAGGACTTAACAAAACCATTGAAATCAAGTTAGGAAATATCCTCGGGAATAAGTTGTTTTTTTTTATGCATGGAAGTACTACAAGATATATTTTGGTTATTTGCAACCCTGAAACTTTGTGAGTGTGTAATGGTTTACAAACAATACACAATTAATACATACAAACACACAATTTATCTCACTGTTCACAAAAAACAAACACAAATACACACATGTATCATGCTTAAAATTATGTTACTAAATATTTTCACCTCGAGCAGTGTGATGAGGTGTTTCAGTCATCAAGTCCCAAAAGCGAACTGTTGTATCGCCTGATCCACTGGCCAAATATCTGAGACAATCAACAAACAATTCATATCCACAATACAACCTCCAAAAGCCCTTTCTGCAGTTTGTATTAAAACAAAGTGCACTATGGTCCTCACTTGCCAGTGGGGCTAAAGGCCGTGGAGATGACTGCCTCAGTGTGTCCCTGCAGAGTGCTGGTGCAGCGGGCCACAGCTCGCACTCGGAACACTGCTTGAGGTTGATACACCACAGCCAGCACCTGCTCAGTCTCGACCCCCAGCGCTTTTACACACGCCCCCAACGAAGATACCACCTCTGCCTCGCCACGAGCAAAGAACGCCAGCGGTACTGGGTCATCCTGCAAGATATGAAGATTTATTATGCCATTATAACTCGGCACGGTGCTGAGTGGATAGCACTCTCGCCTCTTAGCAAGAAGGTCCTGGGTTCGAATCCCGGCCGGACCAGGGCCTTTCTAAGTGGAGTTTGCATGTTCTCCCCGTGCCTGCGTAGGTTTCCTCCGGGTACTCCGGTTTCCCCTACCACTAAAAATATGTACAATAGGTCTGGCATGCGCCTCCTGTTCGGCGACCCCGCTCCCATCTCTGTGTGGAGTGAGAGGACAAGTGCCCAAAAAATAACAATTGTAAACCGCTTTGTGACTCTGGTCTGTGAAAGGCGGTATATAAATAAAGCTACTACTTACTACTACTATTACTGACATTTTTTAATGACTTATTTAGATCCAAATTATGCACATTTAATCAATTCATACAAAAAGTAAAATGGAACTAATGGAGCAGTGAAATCAAATGCTCTTAAATGTAACAAGGGAAAATATTGACAGCAAAATGAAACAAAGTACAATATACTTTATGTACAGTAGTAGTAATTTGTTACTGAATAATAGCAGACTGACCTGTTGCAGCAGAGCATTGCAGACCAGCTGCAGTTTTTCTGGGGTGATGTCAAGAGGCACATCGAAAGGCGACCCCAACACTTCACCCTCCTCATTCTGAAACTGGATCAGAAGGCGCTCCACGTCTTCAGTCGACATAATGCAGATGCACTCCGATCTGAAGGATGAGAGGGAATAAGGAGTACGCCAGGCAGATGCCAGATGGAGTAAAGTCAGGTGATGTTACTTAGTCTTGTCATCCATAAGCTTTGGATCTATTGCAACAAAATTACAGAATACGATTAAGAACAGTAATAATTAGGGAGAAGGAAGTTGATTGTCTAAAATATAAACAAAAACAAACTAGGTGTTTCTCTTTTGACTGCCTCGCTATGCTAGCCCCCATCTGCGGAGTCTGTTTCCGTCCAAAACACACACTCCGTTCTTCCTACATACAGTCCATGCTGAGTCGTGTTTTTCAATCCAAAAGATAAATGCTGTTTTGTTTCATTTTACTCACCTGATCTGATATTATTCACTCGGAATTTAGCTTTAGCTTAGCTGTTGACGTCCCCACGTGTGTCTGTGAAGACACACGTGTCGTCACAGTGCCGCATTCCAGTGAGACGTCATTGAGGTACCAAACTCCGGTTAAACCTCCCGACACTGCCCCCTCGTGGCGTACAACATATATGCAGTATAAACAATATACCATATTGTAACACGCCCCTCATTTGGGTTGCCAGATCAGAACTCCGTTTCCCAGCACTATGCGGGACATAACCATGGATGTATTATATTAACTGGATAGGGTATTACTAGCTTGTAGCTGAATAACTCATGTGCTCAGGGGATTCTCGCGGTACTGCAGACTGAACCAGACTAAATTCACGTGGGCTACCCAGAAATTTTCCCCATAGAACTCAATGCATATTAAAACAGCTCGACCTCAGCTGACAGAGAACCTACAGCTTTAATAAAGATAGGATTTTGTGGGGATTTTAGTGTCCCTTGTCATCCTGAACTTTTTTTCTTCTTAAATCCTTCGGTTTTGTTTAAATCCACACTTTAGTGCCACAAACTCTACTCCTCTGGCTCTCGCTCTAACTCCCGCTCTGATGAACTGCTCTGATTGGTCAGAGCGCGGCCGAGCCCCTCTGTGCACGTGCGTGAGACCCGGTGTGAGACCCACAGACGCGTGTTTGACGCAACGCATTATGGGAGATCATCCACTGCGCAGAACAGGTGTAACGTTGCCTGGCCTGCCAGACACTCCTCCTTTCTGTTCAAAAGAAGAACCGTCTGGACACCTCTTCCTAGCCTATCATTTCACGATTTTACCCACATCGGTCCAATCACGCACCGAGAGGCGGGACTTCCTTTCACCTTTGAGTTGCTAATAACTCCTCGTATCTTTAAGTTTTTGTTACAAAATCGACAACAGTCGTTTACATTTGCACTAGCTGACATGCCGCCATCCCTTGTTTTGTGTTTACTGAAACGGCTTGGGTGCCGCTAGTTGCTGCGTCATATCCTGTGTGCATCTAATTGGTTGATGCAGTCTGTCAACCACGCCCACCGGGAATTCGCTGAGATCAAGCTCGTTCCCAGACTATGGCCCAGTCCCAATACCCACACTGCACCCTACGCCCTCCTATGAAGTGTGCATTTGTTTGAAGTGCGCGCAAGGGTTTGAGTGCGCAGGTTGCAAGCGTGCACAAAAGGTGGAATTGGGACATTGCACACTGAGTGCAGTTTACGTCATCGACTCGTCAAGAGATGGTCATTTTAAGACCTAAACTTTATAAAAATTAAAGGTAATTTTGTCTGACCCTTTGGGAAACAATATGAATTGCTTCACACACGTTATAATACATTTATATTAGTTGTTTTTAATTAGAGATAGCGGTATAATTTTAAGTTAAATGTGGGTAACTAACTATCTGGTCAGTTTTTATACATTCTAAGATTATTGTACTAAGTGTAAAGTTTAAATTGAATGTTATAGAAACGCTTGCTTTAAAAAGTTATTAAATTGTTAAAACACAATGTCCGTAATTCTTCATCAGACGTTTATGCTTCTTTCCAAGTAACATAGCAAAACTTATTTACACACATACTGCATATATATTTCAAAATGTATATTTAATTGCATTTTCCCGTCGTTTTGGTGTCCCGTCGCAAAGAATTATGGGCAATATCCTTCGCCAGAGTGTGCATAGATGCAGGCTACGGCGAAGTGTGGATCAGGGGCGCAAAGGGGGCGGGGCCAAAGACCTCCCTGGAGAATTGGGACACCCTACGCACTCGCACACTTTATCGGGAACGCGCAAATGAGGGGCGCGAGGGTGGAAGTGCGAGTATTGGGACGGGGCCTATATGTCTTTGAAAAAGCATATCGTTTGGCAGGCCAGGCAAGGTGTAACGCCGAGATACACTGGCCCAGTCCCAATACCCACACTGCACCCTACGCCCTCCTATGAAGTGTGCATTTGTTTGTAGTGCGCGCAAGGGTTTGAGTGCGCAGGTTGCAAGCGTGCACAAAAGGCGGAATTGGGACAGTGCACACTGAGTGCAGGTTACGTCATTTTCAGACCTAAACTTTATAAAAATTAAAGGTCATTTTGTCTGACCCTTTGGGAAACAAATTGAATTGCTTCACACACGTTAAAATACATGTATATTAGTGGTTTTTAATTAGAGATAGCTGTATAATTTTAAGTTAAATGTGGGTAACTAACTATCTGGTCAGTTTTTATCAGAATCAGAATCAGAATCAGAATCATTTTTATTGCCAACGTAAGTAACGGGAGGTCACAGACTTGGAAATTGCTTTGGCTCAGTGCAACAGTCAAAAAGAGATAATAAAAATAAGAATAAAAAACACTTCTAAAGAATAAATTTAAATTTAAAATAGAGTTACAGTTACTATTTACAATATACAAGTGCACATGGTGCACACAATGTAAGGTGACAGCAGTACAGTGAAGTAAAGTGACGTATGATGGGCAGTAAAGTGACTTTATAAAGGGCGGGGGGACAGGTTAAGAAGTGTTCAAGAGTCCAACAGCAGAGGGGAAGAAACTGTTCTTGTGGCGGGAGGTTCTAGTCCTGATGGACCGCAGCCTCCTGCCTGAGGGGAGTGGTTGGAATAGTCCATGTGCAGGGTGAGAGGGGTCGGCTGTGATACGACCAGCCCGGCCTCGAGCTCGGGCGACGTACAGGTCCTGCAGCGATGGAAGGCTGCGGCCGATCACTTCCTCTGCAGAGCGCACAATGCATTTATACATTCTAAGATTATTGTACTAAGTGTAAAGTTTAAATTGAATGTTATATAAACGCTTGGTTTAAAAAGTTATTAAATTGTTAAAACACAATGTCCGTAATTCTTCATCAGACGTTTATGCTTCTTTCCAAGTAACATAGCAAAACTTATTTACACACATACAGCATATATATTTCAAAATGTATATTTAAATGCATTTTCCCGACGTTTTGGTGTGTACCGCAAAGAATTATGGGCAATATCCTTCGCCAGAGTGCGCATAGATGCAGGTTACGGCGAAGTGTGGATCAGGGGCGCAAAGGGGGCGGGGCCAAAGACCTCCCTGGAGAATTGGGACACCCTACGCACTCGCACCCTTTATCGGGAACGCGCAAATGAGGGGCGCGAGGGTGGAAGTGCGAGTATTGGGACGGGGCCTCAGTCTTTAAGAGATTCAGCTCAGCTGTTTATGATGTAATGCAAACCGCGGCTGCTGACGTGGGCTGATGACGCGTCCTGTGGCAACTCTACACTCTTACACTGGTCTGTCGGGTTGATAATGGAAAATGGGGAAAAAAATCAATCTAATTAAATATTTTGTTTGAAAACACTATTGTTAATCATATTAAATACAGTACGATACATGTATTGAATGAAATTTATTATTTCCATTATCAACCCGACAGACCAGTGTAAGAGTGTAGAGTTGCCACAGGACGCGTCATCAGCCTACGTCAGCAGCCGCGGACTGCTATGAAAACATTAGCTTTGTGGTTTCACAGGCGCAGTTGACTGCTTAAACTAAACTTTGCACAAAACTTTTACTCTTAAAACCCACATGTGACAAAACGGAACCACCAACATCTCGCCTCAAATTGCATTAAAAGTGACATTCGTGTCTTAATTCGTTCGTATTTTAACTTTAAAGACATTCACGGTCCGCCATCTTGGTATGCTTCGGCTGCCGTGAGACCATGGATGTATTGCGTGAGACGCGCATGCGCAGGTTTGCATTACATCATAAACAGTTGAGGCAGTGCATCTCTTCAAGGCAGTGTATCTCGGCGTTACACCTGGAGTGTCACTCCCGTATTCGTCCCGGAAACCGGATTCGTCCGGGAGTTCAGTTTGATCCAATGAGCATACGCAGCAGTAGATTACGTCACGGAATCTGGACGGAAGCGGAAGTAAATATAAAAAACTACCTATTCATGCCTAAACTTAACCAGCCATTCCCATGAAATAACCCCAACCCAGCTTCAACCCTAAACTTAACCATCTTAATCAGACGCCTAAACTTAACCAGTCACCACTTAAGGACATATTAAACTTTTTGACATGCGCAAACTGAACTTCTGGACAAATCCGGTTTCCGGGACAAATACGGGAGTGACAGGGAGGACCAGACGATGCCCAAATACAGGCGAGTTTCCCATAGATCTTTGCGAGTTTCCCAAAGTTCTTTGCGAGTTTCCCATAGGTCTTTGCGAGTTCACGCAACTTCCGCTAATCTTTTTTTATTTTTTTTATCACTTTATTAAGAACAATCAGTGTTGCCAACTTAGCGACTTTTCAGACCCTATAGCGACTTTTTTTCAAAAAAGCGACTAGCGACAGATCTAGACAAAGCATTAAAATCATTAAATGTTGTTAATGTTGAAATTATTTTTGTACATTTGTAGTTCTAAACATATTTAGGGTGTTTTTTACTCACTTTTGTCTCTCCCACGACGTTATTCCTCTCTCCTACAGCGTCCGTTACAGTTATTTGCAAATTGACAATTATGCAAATTAGGCGATGACGTCATTTAGCGACTTCTAGCGAATTTTTTGGGACAGCCAATAGCTACTTTCCTTACTGAGGAGTTGGCAACACTGAGAACAATGGAACATATACATAAACAAACACAAGTAGAGGACTAGAATAACCAAGCTAGGGGGCAAAGGCACTCGAATAAATAAATAACCTTCACTTACAATTTACATTATACAATAGAATACAATGAGCAATAGAATAGTTAAAACAAAAGATACTTGGAAATCAAATATGAGGTCGTTCTGTCAGATTTATATTTCTTAAGTAATTTTAAAGAGCTATAATATACTTTGAATTCGTTGATGAAACAGGGAAAAGAGGGTTTAATCCCTCTCCACTTACTACAGTGGATGTGATATTTGGCTAACATTAGGACAACATTAACAACAGTTTCAGCAGGAGAGTCTGAAATGACCATGTAGTACAATATATGAGACATGTTCACAGGTTGAATTTTCATTTTAAGATTTAGCCAACTATTGACATCAGACCAGAACTGTTGAGTATAGTGGCAATGGAAAAATAAATGATCTAGTGACTCATCTTCAACTTTACAAAATGTACAAAACTCAACTTCAAATTTAAATCGTCTTTTAAGAAAGTTGCCCACTGGGTAAATGTGATTGATTATCTTGAAATGAGTCTCTTTTACTTTAGGAGATACAGACATTTTAATACATTTACAATAGGCCTTTGTATAAACAGAAAGATCATTGTGATCGGGCAAGATCTTAAAAGAGGATCTGGTAAAGTCAGCATGAATAATTTTTCTAAAACAATCATTAAATAACTTGTTGTTACATTTGAGGTCGTTTAAACTAACGTCTTGTAACTTGAGGGTTGGAAGTGATAATCTTTTCAGCCCCCATGCCGTCACAAAGCGCCACTGAGCACAACCATTCATTTGAATAGGGCGCCATCTTGAATCGCCGGGGCTTGGACATAACCTGGACATAACACAATTAAATTAAATAAATGCATAAATAAATACTGTAACTAGATTCTAACTAACATTATAGTTTAAACTGAAAATTATGGATTAGGATAAAGGGGAAGAAAATGGATGGATGGATAATATACTAAATGTGAAATCCCTTCGAGAATAATGTTTTCTGACTAGAACAACATCAGAATATAGCTTCTGAAAAAAGTAATATATATAACTTATACAAATATGTTAATCATAGTTACATAGGTGTTGCTAGGTTCAAATTTGACCCGTATAGATGTGTTAGAAAAAGGAGCCTTTGTTCTTCAGAAAACAACTTTATTTATAAAAAACTGTTTTATGAACGTTTTCTGGAGTTTGAAGCTCTAAATGCAGTCTTTAAATCTTTGATATATGTGGGTTTGCCAGTTAATATCTACAGTCTATGGTCTTTGCAAATCAAGTGGGTCCAGGAGATCATTTTTGCGATGTTTGCTGATGTGGCTTTGCCTTCAATTTCAGATGCCCTCTACCACTGTGTAAAATATTCACTTTTACTGTAGAAATTCAGAGAAAATTGGGGTCAAAGTATGCCATTTTGATCCCAAAAGCACTTTTTAAAATGAATTTTAAAAAGTGCTTTTGGGACCCACAGTGGTAGAGGGCATCTTAGTGAACAAGTGTGCAGTGAAATTAGTCAGGGAACTTTTTTTAGATTTAAAAAAAAATAATTTTAAAAAGGGTTTTTGTGACCAAAATAGCACACTTTGACCCCAATTATCTCTGAATTTCTACAGTAAAAGTGAATGATATTTTACACAGTGGTAGAGGGCATCACAGTGAACAAGTGTGCATTGAAAGTAGTCGCAAAACTCTTTTTGTTCTTTTTTAATGATTTTGTTAATAAAAATTGCATCTTGCTTGCTTCTCGTCGCGGCTTCCCGTTCCACGTTTACCGTAAGTAACAGCATAAAGGAGCCAACCGCTTTCAAAGTGCGGACGTCTTTACCGCTGCCGACGAAATGCAGGGCCACTTTACCGCGGTGAGTGTATAGCACTGTCGCTTCTCAGCAAGAAGCGGAATTCTTCTGTTAGCCTTATTATTTTCAGTGGTGAGAATTAAAATTATTGCTCCCCTTTTCTGGTGCCATTCATGTAGCTTTCTCTGCGACCCTTACACATATAAATGGATGGATGATGTCAAAATATCAGTAATCTTTTTTAACGTTTGGTATGTCCACACATAGTACTTTTACCACAGTTGAAGAAACAATGCATGACTTTCATTCGAGTCACCGTCAAATCAAAATGCATTACCAATGAGAGACAAAACAAATGTGTTTCAGGCATTTTATTTGATCAGTATTTTGTTGTATTGCAAAACAACTTCGCTGTTTACTCTTTGGACGTCAACATCCTTTGAAAGACCAGAGCCTATCATTGTACACAAATTTAATATGTTGATACATGTATAATTGACCTTTTGAAGCATTGAAACAGGCTTGCATATAACCATCGGTATGCATAGATAGATAAATATTAGCCGTGTAGTAAACAGAAAAACTATTATTATGGCACACAATGGTGTTAAATAGGCTTTCATATTTTGGTCATCCAAACCAGTGGACAGGCGTATGTTGAGAAAGACACCGGCCTGAATTTATATCTTATTAAAGGCCATTGGAATTCTCAGGAACAAGACATTCTATGACTGCACGCTTTGACTCCAAAATCTGAGGAAAATACAAAGCACGTTAATATTGTGTTGTCGCAACCCATAACAATACATCTGGTATTTATGAGGCAGTTCTAAGATATATTACCTGGAAGTTTTCACTAAGGCCAACAAGGGTTTGCATGTTTGTGCTGTAGTAGCCTAACACATACTGGCCGCCAAGAAGAGGGATAGAATCTTTGTCCATCGGAAGCTGCATTCAAACAGGGATTCTTGATAAAGTACAGTAATCATCATGGCTCACATTACAAGTGTAGAGGTCTTACCTGTATGAGTTCATCTATTTCAGGCAACTCATTCTCACGGACCCAAACAAACGTCTCATAATCCATAGCACTTTTGAATCCCAGCTAAGGCAGAACATTCACTATTACTTAATTAATTCAACACATTTCATTTACACTGTAAAATGCATATACAATACAGATACTTGCTATTGCTTTGCCTGAACTGTTCCTATTTTAACTTTGAGACATGCCTCAAACCTGATGGTGACAATTGTGCTTGTCTCCAATTTACTGTAAATCATACTGTGAAACATTCAAGGCACAGCAATAACACATTCAACACAAAAAGGTGACATGATCCCCAAAAAACCTTCATAGTGGCTTTTGAACCTGCGGTACCTTGAAAAGTCCGATCCAGTCCCACGTGGAGGACATGAAGTCCTCCTGTACAGTGTAGCTCAGGACTGCGTCCTGGTCTGCACTCCAAACGCCCTCAGCAGAGACGTGGACCAGCGGAGTGTCATAGTGCTTTCTGAGCTGCGGGGGAAAGTTAAAAATATGATTTAGATATACTATAAGTGATTGAATTTGTCTTGAGTAACATTATTTTGTGCACCTCCAAGTTGAAAGTAGCAAGGACAGGTTTATGGTCACTGACTCCGTAGCTTAGGTCACAGGTGTATCTGTCTTGAGTAACCAGGACGGGGTACTCATCTGGCCCTTCGTCGGTAGAAGTGGATGCTCTCTCATCGTCCTCCTCTGATGGAAGGCTCCTGGGTTTTATGCGCCACAAAACCCGATCGGTCCAGGCGGGCTTCCTCTTCTTACCACTAGGAAATGAATTATGTTTATTCTCAGTAAAACTAAAAACCCCCACAGCTACATAATGCACTTATAGCCATGCAAACATACTGTGCAACATACAGAATTGACGTGATTTTAATGTGCTTGTGGTGTGGCTATACAGTATCTCCATATTATACTGAAGGTTGCCAGGTTGTATTGTCAAAGTTATATCTGGCCACATGTTCATAATGTACCAGATACCCACCTTGGCGGGTCTAGCTGCCTGTACCAGGCCCCCAACCAGACAGAGAGCAGCCCCCAGGACAGGGAGGTTAGGAGGAGGAAGAGGGTGGTGCTACAGCGCTGCAGGGGCCGCGGTCTATACATGGTTAGAGGCAACGCCAAAGTGCTCTTTCTGAGAGACACACAGGCGGCTGTCACTTAACAAACCACACTCAAGCTAAAACTGGGGTACCTTTTGTGTTTTTATTTCATAAATAGTAAATTGTTGTGGAAAAATTAGATCACAATTAGATCACATTTTAGATAAAATGTATATGTTGTATACTTATGGCCTGTGTATATCACTGTTTGGACTGAGCGTTGATTGGCTGAGTGAGGGTGGTTATCTGGTTTCAGAAAAAGTTGATTTAAATCTTTTGAACTAGTGATAGACAATTTGGTTCTAGAGCCTGGAACCAGTTAGAGGATTTATATTTCATAGTTACATTGTAGTTGTTTGAAAGGTACCCCAGCTTTATACCAATGACTGATGATCCAGTCTTAGGGTGAGGAGGATGTGAGGGGTTGTGCACGGACAATAGTGAAACGTGGAACAATAATGTATTGCCTTACTTAAAGCCAAACCACGTCTTTTCACGGCTGTTCACAGTTATGACAGAAATAAAGTTCATTGGTTTTGCAGATGGCATTAACATAAGTTCATTATTATGTTTAATAGGCTGCATACCTGATGTCGTAAGTGTCAGAATTACGCTTGAACTTGTAAGTGGGTTGAAAATTAAGTGGTCCCTCTTGAAATTCTTGTAGAAATTGCTCTTTCTTTTTCATCATTGTTAGCTGCAACAACATAATGTGAATTAGGCAAACAAAATTGAAAGTGAAGCAAGCTAAATCTGTGCCGCACCTGGTCTTTGCTCCAGAGCAGATTCAAGCGTCCACCTTCAATGGAAGAGCGCAGGAAGTGCAACCCGTGGTCAGCGATGCGAAAATTCAGATCACCAAACCAGAAAACAACTCTGGAAATCAAGAATGTAAAGTTAAGGTTAATTTACATGACATAGAGTCTACATTCTACATGGCTGCAGCACAGTGCTCGAGATCACCAGAAGCTTCTGCTGGGAGAAACTTACAAAGACAGGGAGACACCTGCCCATTCCGCTCAGAAAGGCCCATGACCTAGCCCTCTTTTGGTGAAACATGAGCGCTATACTCACTCAGCCAGTATATGATTTTACATATTGTGAGTGTATATGTGAGTTTGTGTAGGTCTGTCATGATAACAGATGAAATTTTGCTTCTGAAAATGTGTTATAAAGGATAACAGTGAAACTGCTTAATGCCATTGACGAAAGTGTAATTTAGCAGGATTATCCCAGCGAGGCAAATATTCAGACGTATTTAACCCTCTACAGCTAAAACTTCATCGTTTTACAAAGAAAATAATAACGATCTCTCCTTTGTTACAAAGACATTGTGCAGACAAAAATGTCGAGGTCCAACATACGTAAATTGTTTCATCCTACAGTATTTGAATGATACGTTGATAAATTGATTATTGTAAGGGACCTAGGTGTGTGTGTGTGTGTGTTTGCTGGTCATGATGGGCATGATTGTTTTTAATAAATTGTAAAGTAGAATAATATTTTGTTTTTGTGCGACATTATATAATAGTTCATTTGACATTTTATAATGGGTCATTTGACATACAAATAAAACAAAATATCCTTAACATTATTTAAGCCATCCATTCATGAATATTATGTGAATAACATCCCTCATTTGAATGGTCTTACTTGTGGTCCAGAACATGGGGCGTGTCCTCAGCCTCAAAGTCTTGTATGTCCAGGATGTATTCAAACTCGTCCACTCTCTGCAGAGCGTAGTTCATGTGAGCCGCCAGGTGACAGTTCAGAAAACACACCGTCTCTCCGTACAGGGAGAAGCGGACTGATACAGCGCCTTTATTCCCCTGAAACATAAACAAGGCAAGACATGTAACAGCAAAGTTATAAACGCATCTATTAATGAAAATGAAACTTCCCATTAAAGTGATCGGGGACACTCTAATAGACCTAAAAACATGGATGACTCTTAACTTCCTACTGCTTAACCCGGAGAAGACAGAAGTGATCCTACTCGGTCCAAAGGGCCTGCGCGACTTCTTTGCCGACCAGATAATCACTCTTGATAATGTCAGTATTGTACCCAGCAACACTGTGAGGAATCTTGGAGTCATTTTTGACGAAGAACTCCCCTTCAAGGCTTCTATAAGCGGCGTATTTCCGTATTTTAAAATCAGAAATATCCTTTGTCAGAGTGACGCGGAAAATCTGCAGGATCTTATCAGGGACCAAAGATCTTAAGGATCTTAACAGGTACCAAAAGGAGGGAGCACATAACTCCGGTGTTAAAATCACTCCACTGGCTTCCCGTGGAGTCTAGAATAAAGTTTAAAATCCTTCCCCTAACATACAAAGCCATAAATGGCAAAACATGCCAGACCTCTGGTGGTTCCTAAGATCTCAAAAAGCACTATCGGTGGCAGAGCATTTAGCTACCAAGCTCCTTTACTGTGGAATCAGCTTCTCATCCAGGATAAGGAAGCAGACACGGTCTCCATTTAAGGCCAGGCTTAAAACGCTCTTCTTGAATTTAGATATGGTTAGATTGTTTGTCTGGTTTGGTTTACACACTTGGTGTGTAATCCACAAATTCTTGGTGCTGTAGCCGGGGCTAGCCTAGCCGTGGCTTCTGCTGTCTCTCCTTCGTTCCGACACGGTCTCCACATTCAAGGCTAGGCTTAAAACAGTCGTCTTTAATTTAGCATATGGTTAGGAAGGCGAAACATCTTAGATTATCAGTCAAGCTGCGTAGGGAGTCAGTTTGCTGGGAGAAGTATGTTAACTTGAGCACTATCCTCTCCTCCGTTCTACTTTATCTGTCTGCATTATTAGGATTTTGACTGTATTCTGTTCATTGCTATTCACCCGTTGTCCTATTGTCTGTTTCATGGTACGACGACGGGACCTCTGAACCTGGCCTCCTCCATCTACACCTGCGGACTGCCCTGCCCGACCCGCCTGGGAGTGCTTCAGTCCTGCACCGGACCTGTCCACGTTCTGCGGCCGCTGCGTGGCTCTGGTGCACGTTCTGTAGCGTAGGTCCTGGATCTATAGCCCGTCCGTCCGTGTGGAGTGGATCTCTCTCTCAATGTGTGGGTCTCCCCGAGGTTTCTCACTTTTTTACCACCGGGTTTTTCTTATGGGTTTTTCCTTGCCAATGCAGGAGGGCCTGTTGGACAGTTAGTGTCTAACAAGAAGGACTGTGGTGATGATCCAGGACACTTTAACATTCTACAACATGTATGGACATTAATCAACATGTGTTCTTTTTGTGTCTTAACTGTTGATTCTCTGATCTGTGATGGTGATTTCAAAGGTTTTGTTAAGTCCTCTTAGATGACTACTGTTGTGATTTAGGTCTATACAAGAATAAATTGTATTGTATTGTATTGTATTGTACTCTTTGGATTCAGTTCTGCATAAAGAGTTTGTACGGTACAGACCAAATGTTTGGACACTCCTTCTCTTTCCAAGAGTTTTTTAATTTCATGATTATGAAAATGAGCTTCAAGAGGTAGTGACCTGAAATGGTCTTCCAAAACCATCTGGATTGGGTTCAGGTCCGGTGACTGTGGAGGCCAGGTCATCTGGCCCAGCACCCATCACTCTCAAATAGTGATTGGTCAAATAGCCCTTACACAGCCTGGGTGTGAATCTACAGTCAATAGTCATGAAAAGAAAGGAAACTCATTGATTGAGAAAGTGTGTCCAAACATTTGGTCTGTACTGTGTATATCTTTCTAATATTTAATTTATGTGGTTTATGTTACAACCAACAGCTTATTAGACTCATTATTTTCTCATATTACAACACTATTAAATCAATACTAAGTTAAATCTGGGATACCTTTTCCTTCTCATAAATAATACATCTTGTTTGTCCCAACAGAAAGAGTAAAAGGTTGTTACCAAATCAGACCACATCATACTTTTGCGTACATGTAAGAAATCAATTAATCAAATCAATCCATCTGTAAGAAAGAGCTCTGGGGGTCACTATTTGGCGCTTTGGGCTCAGAGCTGATTGGCTGAGGCAAGGTGGTCCTTTCTCTCAGAAAAAAAGCTGATCTAGAGCTGGGACAGAGATACCTGCTTATGAAAACTAGTTAGATTGATTTTATTTCTTGGTTAATTTGTTGTGGTTAGGTGCCCCAGTCTACAAAAAACAAAACACAATAACAAAAATCTTTTAACTGGAACATCACTTGGAATTCATAATACTATATGCCTGCTGCTCAGTAAACCTGTATTTTAACACACATTTGGAACTAATACAATACCTTCTATTAAAGTGTTAAAACAACAGTACTAACAAATAGACACAACTGGTCTCTTAATTTCTGTTAAAAAACACAAATTAATTTACTCTTTTTGTAATGTTTGCTTCTGTTGTCTGCTGCTGTGTGCCACATACCACCCGAGGAAAAAACAAAGGCCCATTCAAAACACTCAGGTCTTTGCACCCCTGCGCCATCTGAAAACAAAAGAAGAGTTGTGCCTGCCGTTTTACCCAGTATCCAAAGATCCCAGTCCGGGTGTAAGTGCTCTGGATATCTCTGATGAACGGCAGGTGGACTTGTTTGGCAAAGATCAGAAGCAACAGGCCCTGCATCCGCACCGACGTCACCTGAACAACACAAGCATCAGTTACTTGAAACTAGTACAAGGCCTTTAGTTAAAACCATAACAAAGATGACATAAAGTACATGGATTCATTTAATGTACATAATAATCATTAAAATAAAATATCCAGCCTCCTCAGCTCTCAACGACCTGTCCAAGGAGATAAAGCTATGGCTCAATCAGAATCCTCTTTTAAATCACTCCTTAAAACCCACTTTTACGGAACTGCTAGTTTTAAACTTTGCTTTGTCATTCTTTTTGTCTGTCTGCTTTATTCTACTGTAATTATTTTCGATCTGACTGTGTGATTGTCTGTTTTTGACTGTTTTTACTGCTTTATGCTGACTGTGCAGCTTTGTAAATACTCTTTAAAAAAAAAGTGATATATGTATTATTATTATTATCACAAATAAAAAATAAACACTTTTCCCATAATTTATTAGCCAATACCAATGTATATAGTGGCTTCGCACCTTGACAAACCCACGTGGTCCCAGCGTGTCCATAAAAAGATGGCTCCATGAATCTTCCGCAACGAGGTCAGAAATGAACCTGATCGGCGCAGCATTCACTTCCTGCAGACTGAAACACACAGTTTACACGCTTGACTAATTTGTTAACCATCATGTGGTGACAGGACCTGATTCTTCTAAAGGAAAGCAAGCCTTGAGGGGAAATCTAGGAATTTACTCTGCATAACGTGATATAAAAGTTCCTGACTATACGCACAATATTGTTTCATATCTCACCCAATCACGTAAATGTCATGTTGGCCGTCCAGTTGCAACAGAGATGTGACATCTTCAGGAGGCTCAGCTGTGCCCACATTCCACGTCACCAAGTACAACCTGATGCAAGCAGATAAATCAATATCAATGTTTGAAATGAATCCCATTTTTTTATTATATCCTCATTGCTACCAAAGTACAATATCCAATACATGAGTTGAGTGTTTATTTATTTTGAGTTCAATGTACATCAAAAATGAATGGTATATAGAAGGATTTTAGGAGAGAACCGCCCTCTCCACATCATCAAGGCAAGGCAAGGCAAGTTTATTTTTATAGCACAATTCATACACAAGGCAACTCAAAGTAAGATAGCATTAAAGACATAAATAATCACAGTACATTAAAAAGAAAGATACAAATATAAAATCCCTCAGTTCTATGCACTACATAGCATTCACTATCAAATCATTCATTTACAATTATTCATTACAAAATTGTACATTATTCAATGTCAAAAAGAAGTGGGAGGAGGAAAAATCAAATTAAATGTGTGAAAAGCGTTTTATCTTCAGGACTGTACAATAAGTCACTTTAAGTCACTTGCACTAGGACTAAAAACTTGCACTACTGTTGCCACTGTTTCTTTAATTGCCACTTTTATTTAATATATCCTGCACAAACAAAAAAAATTGTCTTTAACATGTTTGCACACTTCTGTCTTTTGCACAAATCTGAGTGATTCTATCCTTGCCAAATGTGACATGTACATTTCTCCCGTGTGAGATCAGTAAAGTCTATCTTATCTTATATTATCTTATACCCGTGAGTATTATCTAAAGCAACAACTCTAAATAGCGTATGTAAAACCTTCCCGAGCCAGCATGTGATATCCCTATGAGACCTGATTGCGTCGGTGGGCATGAAGCGGCTGCACAGCTGGAAGGCCTCGTCCAGAGAGCGAGACATCTCTTCGCTGGCCTCGTCGTCGGAGCTCATGTCCTCTATACAGGTGAGCAGCTGGGACACTCTCTGTCGCAGCAGCATCTTTGACCTGGAGCCAGAGCTGCTGGTGCTGTCCGTCCTTACGCGCCCAAATTCTCCCAAATTCTCCATTCTTCCCCAAAAATCAAAACCTGCCTGTCATCAAGATCCAAAAAAGTCCAGGCGCTTAAACTTCTTCCATAAAGAAAAACATAGTCCGAAATATCCCAGTGTGAGAGTGGAGGAATCCCAGTGTGTGTGGCTGCGCTAATGAGCTCTTGTGCACTCATGCGACGGTGCAGCACAGACTGACACAACACTGGGATCGGGGGGAAAGAGGGTTTTTAATTTGATTGTAATCTCGAACAGGAGACATGCATGTGAATGGTATGAGTTTAGAAATATGTGTAATAGAGTGATTTTTTTGCACCACTTGTGTTGAAATCTCTAAGAGGTTTACACAGGCATCAGCTGATTGTGAACAAAGCATTCATAATAACAGCAAAGGCATTAGCGAGAAGGGCACAATAGCATTAGCTTCTTTTGGCCTCAATCCATTCCTTCTCATTTGGGTGAAAGGTTAGGGAGACAAAGTAGTGGAGCATGTTTGTGTCACTGAGCAGTATTTGAAGTCCTGTGTTGCATCACAACAACATTTTAACATTGCTTTAGCTTTTGTATTGCTCCAGTGGATTCATTTGTCCTTTGAATATGAGGAGCAGTATCACATCTCCAAATGTTGAGATTTACTTGGTCAGAAAAACTCCTGCTTGGGGATTCTATTACTGAGAAACCAAACCGGAGTGCCTGGAGGAAACCCTCTAAGTCACTAGGCTCCTTCCGGTCGATTACAAGCCAGAGTTTAAAATGACCCAAGACCAGTCAAAATAATCAAAATTCAGCTTGAAAAAACATCCTACTTTTGATCACATGGCGGGTGGCATTTTGACCCGAGGACAACACAGTGTTTTGTAAAGTACAAAACATTTGTTTTGTGTTTCTCAAACAAAACAAACAATTTTCAATAAGCATAAACCCATAGAACTTTTTTTTTTTAAACAGATGCAATGACAACATTCCAAACCTTTTTGATTTCCTGAATTTTAAACTTCAAAATGCAGCAGAAAATGTGCTTTAAGGTGCCCTTTCTGCCCCTGACAGTTTGTGAAGAAATGTAGACACATGAAGAAAACGTGAAGTAAATGTTCAGAAGTAAAAACTCCATATCCACCTGTTAAGATGGACCTATGCCGAAACAATACAACAACTGCCCAGTTGTTAAGTTACGGGAGAATTCTTTTTAAATTTCCTGTCCATAGCAGTCACAAGGGCGGACTTAAGGCACATTCTCCAGGTGCTAAGCGGATCACCAAAGGGGCCACTGCAAAGGGACTATTTTTGGTTTAAGAATGCAGCAAAGACAAAACACTGGCTCAAACTTGGTTGATTTCATAAAAGCACAATAATCTGAAATCATGAAGTGGCACCTACCTGCACTTGTTCTCCCCAGTTCTTCCAGTACTCATGATCTCCCCTTTGAACACACAGACATTTCATTATAAAAAATAAGTTATCATTTGACGTTATAGTTGCCACACTTTGGACTTCTCTAGTGGAAAAGGCTAAAGTCAAGAGTTTTGATGAAATGATATGTTTTGATGATATTTTATGAGTGTATCTTAAATGTGATTATATGAATATATTTTTTGGCAGGAAAGTCCAGAATTATCTCTGTTGGTGTAAGCTACAATTCACAGTTATTTGATCAGAAGTAACAAATGTGGATACATAAAAATCAGAAATTGAATTGCTAAATTATTCTAAAATGCATTGCCTTCATTGTCTCCCCACTCCTGCTACTTAAAAAAAATAAAAGTCATCTTAAGGTCACATCATGAAACACCATGACAGTTGACTGACAGCCATCAGAAAAGTTACACACTGCACTTTAAAGGTAAAAGTATCTGATGCTTCTAATAACATTGAAAAAGAAACAGATATTGGGTTTAGGTCAAATCAGATCTGAGATGTGTTTAGTCTAGTTTATGTATTTAAAGTGACAGGGACAGTGTACAATAAACATCAACCTCAAAGGGAAAAATGCATTGTACCAGGTTCCAGCCAACCTGGTACAGTGCTCTCTTAACAATCAGTTAGTTTCCACACTTAGTCCCTGATTATTTGATTGCAAATAATGCTCCCCCTCTAAATTATATGTTTCTGTTTATGGAGCTGAAACAAAACACATCTGTCCTAACTGAGAGATTGCAACTCCACAAACTTGACTCACCTCCTGCATCTTCAATATTGTGACATTTTGGAATATTTCAACAAATATTGTTTTATAGTCTTTAAACTTTTCAAAATCCAAATCCACTTGAAACCAAAAGTAAAATAAAGTAGCAACTCTCATTTTTATTTCCCCTGGATAATGCAGATGACCTGACATAATACCTACAGAAAGTTATCGTTGCTTTAACAACAAAAGCCCCGTGTTTGTATTATTATGATTTCGATTAAACCTTACTCCGGACACCCATTACCAAAAGCACTTGAGTGCAATGGCTAGAGTCCGGTCTGGGGTCCCGGGTCCCCCACACCCCCGTACCTGTGCGTGTGGGCGCCTGTCTCTGCTGAGGTGTCCGGGAGAAGCCGCAGACGCCGTGTTGACAGATCACAAAGTTCTCCGCCGCGGAGTCCAGAGTTTGGGGGCGTTTTCCGGCGGTGAGTCCCGTTGTTTCAGTCGGTGTGGTGCTTTCTCCGGGACTCGGGGCTCTCTGTGTCCAGGGCCTTGCTCAAGACTTTAAGCGGAACATTGGATCACGCGCCTTATCCCAGGTCGGTTCAGGCGGCAGCACCGTATTATCTGCTCTATGAATGGTCATGTCTGTTTATTTTATGTCACCGTGACGCATGCCACTTGTTGCACCAAAGCTCCTTTTGTATATAAATAATCCTTTCCCTTTTGCAACATAACATGTTACGCACGTGAGCTCAAACCCAGAGAAATGTATTATTATGAATATGAAGAAGATTATGATGATTATTATTGTATACAATGTAGGCCTTCATGTGGCTGACACATGTGTGTAATTATGATGTAAAACTGCTCATTGAGGACTGCAGAAGCTCTCTGTATGTGATTCATTTGCTGTAAGCGAACTAAAGCAGGGCCCATAATGCTATATATGCCCCTTAAATGCTCTTTGAATTAAACACTTATTAAACTTTTTCCTGGATTAAAAGAATAATAATATCAATACAGGATAAATATGTTGCTGCCAAACACTTTTTACTTGTCTTTATTTGTTTCTTTCATGTCCAATGTACAGCAGTGTTTGGAAGTTAGGTTGACAAAAGGCACAAATTCACAATAAAAAGAAAGAAACAACAAAACAAAACAGAAGATTTAACAGGAGAAGGATGCAAAGCCAAGATAATTTATCAAACTGGTAGATTTTGGAGAGATTTTCATGATTCATACTATTGTTATTCAACACTGTGAGATTGTCTTTACCAAATGATCCAACATTTGTCTGAAAGAAGACACAATGCACCTGTCACAGTTTGTGCCATTGAGAAGCGGACCAGCTGACATTCCAGAAACAACATTCTTGTAATTATTGCCAGAATAATATACTGTGTTATACAAAGGGAGCCCTTAATATCCTTTCATGTGGCACAGTATGATTTGACTTATACAGTGGACACTTGTTGACCTGGTTCATTTGTGGGGAAGAAAAGGCTTCCCAGATCAGCTTGGAAGCATGTGAACTTATTTTAGCGACTCTGGGACACATTTTACATCCACAGTTAAATGGATCCAGACCAACAAGTGAGAACGTGTCCCAAACGGTAACACAAGTCCAAGTTAGAAGTCCGACAATACTCAGAGTGAGAATTTGTCCAGGTGTTTTCGAGCAATAATAACACCTATACATTAAATAACCCAAACACATTTAATGCCAAACTCAGGAACACTCGAGGAAAAGTAACAGACACGCACCAAGACAAGTTACATAGTGCTTATAGTTCCAGTTGCTCTCCACATTATTGAACTGATGCAGAGAGAGAGAAAGAGACGCTGCCGTTTTACTTTTACTGCAAATTGGGTCTGTGAGAGGAGTCATTGTATTCGACAACAAGGGGTACAACATTCAGAACAAAATATATATATATCTTTACAATGTCCTACCAATGACACATAAACCAGGGTCTGTGTATTCATGGTTTCTTGAATAATACTTGTTTCGCAAATTAAAGTTGTTATTGCGTTGGAACATCCTGAAATCTGCTGAAAATATACTCTATAATAGCTTTAAGATGTGTTGTGATGTTTTTAAAGTTATTTTTGATACCGTCTGTCAAGTACTACGTTTTTAAGTTAAGTTGTTTGGCAGGATAGTCATCTATACATATATATATATATATATATATATATATATATATATATATATATATATATATATATATATATATATATATATATATATATATATATATATATATATATAACTGTGTTCATCTACTTGAGTTGAATTTCTATTTACATGTTATTACACACAGGACATCCACACAACTCCATTGTTCAGCCCCACCGCTTACAGTACAAGCAAGGGAGAATCATATTTGGAAGAGAATGCAAAATCCTTTAGTGTAACGGAAGCATTACACTAAATGCAGGAATGCAAAAAACAAAACAAATAAAAGTTCTAAAATTTGGCCAAATCAAGATGTAATGTAATGTAAGGACTTTCAATGGTCATACAAATAAGTAGGGGACATGATTTAAAGATATTTTTGTGCTTTGCTGTAGTGTACAAAGTTACTTTTAATAATAATGAGAATTCAAGAAAAATTGGGATGTTAGCCTTCATATTGTCTTGCATCCTCTTCAAAATTAATGACCAAATATTATTTTATATTTGATGGATAATTGAAAGGGCTTGACTTGACTTTACTCTTGCTACAGAGCTCCTTCGCTTCAGAAATTCGTTCCAATTCCACTCATGATCACAAGACACACAACTTTACATCACCCATGCATACACCTATAGAAACACCTCAACCAATTACACAAACAGATAGATAAAAAGAACCCAATCTAAAGCAGATTAGATGGTATTTATTGCTATCGTTGGATAAGGATCCACAGTGGGTGAGGATGACTGGGCATGGTAGAAAGCACGTCATATTGTTTAGGGCCCTTGAATCACCCGAATGTCTGCGTAAGGATAAAAACACGCTAAGGGCATATTTGGAAATGGCACCTGTGATTGCTACTGAGCAGTGGGAAGAGGAAGTAGTCAAGATGTTTGCTTTTTTTTCATTAAATCCAATAGCAGACACTAGCTGTTAGTTATAGCATAAACAACATCCAATGGGACACTGGCCATAATCGTCGTCTGTCTGTTAGAGCTCCCACAGTCACAGTAATTATCAGCGGTCATAATGTTATGCTTGATTTTTTCATCAGCATAATCAGCGGCCTGTCATATACTGTTGAGTTTAAATGAACCTTAAAGTAAATAATAATGAAAATTCCAAACAGGTGCTATGTTCACATTTATACATACACACTAACCCACAAATCAGTGAAACAAAACAAATGCTTCAATATTTTTGAACTGGAGAAGAGAAAGGACTTTCTCTGCTTCACTTTCACGTTTCAAATTGATTTCAGACAACAGAAGAAACATTGCAGAAAGAGAGATGAAATAAAAAGACATAAAAAATCACTTGAAAACCGAACACTGAGATACAATTTGAAAACAAAATAAACACTCACAGATAAAACTACAGACAAAACTTCTTAAAAAAACCCTTTTATATATATTTATATATAGTATATATTTTAGTACAGTTATTCTCAATATATACACCAATGGAACGTCATTTCATGTTTGAAATGAAACCTAACTTTGTAGGGATTTTAATTAATTGTGTTGCTACTCAGAAAATGACACGGACGGACGAGAAAAACTGAACGAGAATGTGGAGAAAAAAATAATGGAAGGAGGATTTTAGTAGGTCCAGAATTCCTGACAACCCGATGATCCCAGAAGACGAGGGGTTTGACCGGACCGCTGCACGCTGTCGGAACAGAAGGACGTGAATCCGCTGGTGTCTGGGTTTACTTGTCTGCAGGTTACAGGACACAGGATGTTATTCATAGAGTTACAAAGTCTTATCCTATAAAGTTTATATAATGACAAGTGTTTATGTGAAACTTAAAACACATCTCAAATCATTTAGGGAGATCTTTATACCAATCAAAAATGTAATGTGTACAAAAATACTTGTTTCACTGCCAATCTTTGAGCTCAGCTAATGCCACTTCTTTGGGATTTTGGTGAAAATGCAAATTCACTGCAAATGCTAAACACGTCTTTGTGGGTCACTTAGAGGAAGTAAAAGAAGAGGACCAGCATTACACTAAAGGCAGGAGAGGATCGGAGGACAACAAGAGGTGGCGCTTACAATACATTTTCCCAATCAAAACGCTCCTGTGCTGCTCTTTGATTAAATTAATTTGTTGCAAATATATGGAATATAAACAGACTAACACAAATCAATACTTAGTAATGAACTAATTTTGATGAACAGAATATTAATGGAAAAATATTGCAATAAACAAAAATATCTCAATTACTTCATGACACTGATGAGAAGCCATTTTTTTGGTGACCGTATCATTACAAAGAATGGGTTATGGAAATGAGCAGAAAAATTAAGACACATTTAGTCATAATTAACCAATAATAGAAAGAAAATAGAAAAGATGTCTCTACTTTTGCAAATAAAAAACGAACAGACAATAAATATTGAGGCCCTAAACATTTTTATCCATCAGTTATTGAAAGATGAGTGTAAATAGTATTTCTCTTGAAAGGGGCGTGTTTGCAGAGTTGGGCTGGTCCCCTCTTACCTGTCGAGCAGCAGCATTCACAGTTGAACCTCAGTCCTCTAGTGCCACCATGCCTTTCACTGGGTCTTTAACTCTCATCTGGACAATACACAAAAGCTGCATTGAATTTCAATGCTTTATTTAAAACATTACCTTACTGTACTGTATGGACTGACCTCATCTAGCTCCTTGCGTGTGTCTTCCTCCATGCGCCTAATGTCTTCCATGGTCAACTCAATCCAGTGGTCGATCCAGCAGAACAGCTGACGGTGGAAATTGGTGAACAAACGTTTCTCTTGCTGAATGGGAAATAAACATTGGGATTAACATTACACATGCATTTGACAGAGACTATACACAAAACATGTGGTTTAGCGCTCCCTGTGATCCTGGTGTTTATATTTTTCTTTCTATTGTCTTCCTATCATAAACCCATATATGAGCCATAAGGATTGACCGATCAAATGCCCTAATTTCTAGGGGAAACTCCACCTTGCCTTAGCAACCATGATAGCAACACTTCTGCTCATATAAGGACATTGGCTCCATTTTCACTTTTTAACAGTTAACAGATGGTGTTTTAGAGGTTTATTTAATGGTACATACACAAGTCCAAGACCACTGGACAGAAAAACAACACATTCACTGGTGCACCTTCAGATTTCAGCTCAAAGCGCTGCCTTAATCTTCTTAATCACTCTTATCTCACATTCCTCGGCCAAGGCCATAATAACAAAGGTCCCATCTACAACAACTCACACTATTCAGTCTCCAGCTTGGATCCCCTACCCCCGCCTCCCTCCACCTATCCATCTTGCTCCCTCCCTCCCCTCCACTCCTCACTGTGTTTCCGACTCACCCCCCTCCCTGACCCCGCCCCCCTCTGACAGCCACATTGGCCGGCTGTCGGAGGTGCTCATCCCGAGAAAAAATCCGTGCTTTATACAAAGCACAATGTGTCTATCCAACTGTCTGTGAAACTGTATGTTATTGCTCTCTGCTGTTTATTCTACTGTTTGTCGCATGGCGCCGTAAAGATGGCGCTGTGGCAAGAGCTCTGGTGTGTGTCGTCTTCTCTGTCTGGTGCACACCGGGGTAGTCTTGCACAGTTTTTCCAATGTGGTTTTACTGCAAATGGCAAATAAATGAATCTGAATCTGAATCTGATCTAATGCAATAGTAATGAAGTAATAAAATCTTCATAGACACAGCAAAGAAAAGTAAACTGTATAATGCTTTTTTCAATTCCACCCCCTCACTTGAGCCCAGATTACAAACATGTCCACTGGGGTATGGTTAGAAATTGATCTGATACTTTAAACTGTTTTATATTTTATGACTTTTGGGAAGATTTACCTTTTGAATAAAGCTTTCCACCTTGTTTTGCAGGCCCCACCATTTGAATTTGACAGTGACCAGTTTGTAGGCACACATGTGTGGGCAGTCTTTCTTATTGGGAAGCTCTTTCTGCACAGATCAAATACACAGTGTGTTTGCAATGTTTCTGATATAAAACATGATATACTTTTGCTATAGTCATCATTATTGTATATTTAGCACATTTGAAATCTCAACATTGATCAAAAGAGATGTTGTAAAAGAAAATATTCTGCACTCTTCTGTATTCAGTCCCGCTGTACCGCTCTGCCTAACCACCCTATTTACCTTCCAGTCAGGGCCTAGAGGACCTCGTCCAGTCTTCACTGATTTGTACCTGCATGGATCCTCATCTGGCTTGTAATCCTGCAGGAAGACAAAGGTATGACCCACATGCTCAGGGTGACAAAATGTGAAGAAATACCACCCTCACCTTAGTGTCTACTTGGCTTCTGTCTGCAATATCAATATAGACTACGTCCACTTTCTTCCAGGTCTCAGGATCGAGACCATGCACCTGAACACAAGAAGAAGTTTAGTGAATTGTCCACTTTTCATTAAATAAACCAAAAAACAACTCACATTTTCCTGATGGCCCAAGTCAGGTTTATGCCATGTTTCTATCTTGATGAGAAAGTTATCTTTCATGTACTCATTCTGTTGGGAGACAAGCGACATCAGCACAGATTCTCCCACATTTGACCAAATCCCCATATATTGAAAATGTTCTATGTGCCTTCCGGGTTAGAGAGTGGTAAAGTTTGGATCCCCCATTGAAATGGGCAGATATAACTATCTGTTTCTAATCATAAAATGAATGAATAAACATAATTATTGTGGTCAATTGTTTGATTAATAACAGATATTACATTCACTGACTGTATTACGACCTACAAAGGAATTGGGCTGAAGCAACTTGCTTGTGTAAGCCACGTCACATACAGATCATTAGCTACTTAAACACAACAACTAAAAAATAAAATAAAATTTCAAACTCAAAATACATTTGCTAAAACAATGTATACATTTTTGTTCACATTATTATTATTATTATTATTATATTCAGGCAAAGTATTTGAATTCATTATTTCACATTTTAAGGTAGTTTTAAATGTTGATAATGTTTAAATAAAATAAAATGTAATAAGATCAAATAAAATAATTTACTTAAAATCTGATCTCCTAAAGCACACTAAAAATTGAATGTAGTGTGCCAGAAACAAAATTCAATCAATAAATCAATGTTGATATTTTTTTAGAACCTTTAAATTCTAAGGGGACACCGTGTTATATAATGTCACATGAAGTCATAATGTCATACAATTTAGCTTGTGCTTATTTCTAAAACAAAATATGAACTTACAGTGATGACTGCAGATTCACAACGTGGCAAGACAAGGGGAGGAAAGAAAGTATTATTAATAACACGACATGTAGAATGCATTATGTGACCGTGTAGACAGGAAGCCGAGTCAATATGATGCAACTATAGTGAATTATTATAGGACTGGGAAAGATAACGTCTGTGTTCGGGAGCTGACTGTGTGATCCCGGGGTGAAGTTTCGAGTGATGCACGTCTCTTCTCACTGGAGTCACTAAATTATTCACACACTCAAGGTGACAGAGAGAGAGAGAGAGAGAGAGAGATAAAGAGGAGGGAAGAGAAAAGAGAGCAGACGGAGACGCTCAGGGAGAAGAGAAGACTGTAATCAAACTTCAGCACGTCTTTGCTTCTTATTAAAGCTGGGGAACCTAACTTTATAACCACAATACAAAAACTATGCAACAGAATCCATGTTTAGCAGTTAGACCACTAATGACAGCATGTTGTGTCGGATTTGTTCACAAATTGTTTCTCTTTTCTCTTCCCTCCTTTTAACTCTTTCTATTGGGACAAACACAATGTATTTATGAAACAGCAAAAAGTTAGGTACTCCAGCTTTAACATGTAGAATATAGAGGAGATATTCTTTCATGCCAGTACCAAATGTCACCATAAATATTCTAAGATGTCAATATTTATGATAATGTATGACTCAAGTATAGGTGTAAATGTTTAAAGATAGTACCTGTGCGACAGTAGGGGTATGCGTTCCAGGCTTTCTCATGGATGTTGAGAGCCGACGCAGGGGCCAACATTCGGACAAACGACGGAACTTTACTGCATCAGAAATGACAAAATATCAGGGTCGATTGCATTGTAATGTTACGCTTGAGAAGGACTCTTTTATAAGGATAACTCATTGATATAGATTTTCTATTGTGCTCTTTCAATACAATTTCTCGTCGCTTTGACATGAGTATAGTCATCGCAAAACGTTGAAATGGTCTAGACTGCATTGATGATTGAAGAATATGGCACGTACCTCTGTAAATGGTAGATTTTGTGTGTGTACTGTCCCTTCTCTCCATCTTTCTCATAGGGCTCGTTTTTTAACACCTCCACACCCTCTCCCCCTCCTGTCTCATTCTTACTGGCCTCAGCCACCGAGTACAGCTGGCCCACCTGATACTGCAACACAAAAACAAAGGAAAAGTCAAAAAACTATTTCTCAATTCATATGCTGTGAGAACTAAGTGTTGTCAAAAGGAATATTCCTCCACTTCTCGATTTCATGGGCAAGATATTGATTTCTCAGAATGTGTATGCCACTTGTACCTGAGCTCATTTCGGTAGAACATAGACACAGTGATATTTTCCATTCCATTCCATTCCATCTTCTTCCGCTTCATCCGTTGCCCGGTCGCGGGGCCAGCAGTCTAAGCAGAGACGCCCAGACTTCCCTATCCACACACACTTCCTCTAGCTCGTCTCGGGGGACCCCAAGGCGCTCCCGGGCCAGTTGAGAGACATAGTCCCTCCAGCGTGTCCTGGGTCTTCCCCGGGGCCTCCTCCCGGTGGGACGTGCCCGGAACACCTCCCCAGGGAGGCGTCCAGTGATATTTTCGTCCTCCTTTGTATTTATTCTTATTACAACCTATTGTGTGTATTCCTACAATATTACGAACTGGGTAAGCCACAATTTAGGAATACAAACTCTTGATTAGACCTGGGTTCTAGTCAAAAAGCCAAAAAAATGTATACAGTAAATCATTTCTTTGTATGGTGTATAATTAGAACCAATGTGTGAAAATGAATACCATATGACTTGGTTATATATAGGATTTAGTTACAAATATGACTATACATGCATAATGCCTGAAAATCAACTCCAAAAACAGCATATTGGTTATATCATACTACTTCTTTCTGTGACTTTTTGCATCACCGCAGCATTTCTCTGGATATTGCACACACTTTATTTTGAATGTCTTAAAAAAGTGTTATTTTATTGGAGTTTAATGCCATCATTGTCACGGTGACTATACAAGGTTAGGGCTCAGAGACATGCCCTCGAACATTTGGCATTTTGACTTTTCTCTGAACGACAAAGGGCATTCCACCGCTTGAGGACATGGCTAAATTAAAATAAATTGACATTCGAAAAGAGCAATGTCGCTTGAATCATACACATTAGTTGTCAAGTGGTTTTCTCAACTCTCAAAGCTACCTAATAAGGTCCACATTTCCACAAAATAAGTTTATCAAGGAAAAACCAGACCATAACAGCCTTATACAACTAGAATATGTCTGTGCATAGATGGTGGGCAGTGGAATGGAGGGCAGTGGAGAGTGTTCTTGCTCTGATAGCATTACTCAAGTGTCTGGAGGCCTTTTCTGTGGGTCACATCACAGTCCAGCTCCTTATGCCTTAAGAGCCACTGACTTTTGCACCATACTACAACAAGCAGAGTAGATTGCGGTCTTTTCACACTGCCCCTGTTTCAAGCACAACTAACTATTTGAATTATAATGTGATAAGTTATGCCATCAACTCTATAATCAGTGAGGGTGTTGCTATTCTTTTTTAAAGCTGTAATAAAATGTATGTTTGTACTATTCTATAGTGTGACAGCTATTATCTTAAGTTAAAGTAAATACACATGTTTACAATTCCACCCTGTATAAAAGGTTTTCAGCAGTGATGTATACACAAGGGAAATGTAACTTACCTCTTCCACAGATATGGGAAGAATCACTCGACTGGAAGAAAGTAAAAAGGATTTGCTGTTATATTGATACAACTAAACAGATTGTTCTTCCCCATTGTGCATTGTTTATTACTAATCTTTATCATCCTCCCCTCTTAATTACAATCCACCATGTTTTTTTTAATGACACAAAACATTTATCTAAATGATGCCCTTGCCAATCAGGCCCCTCTGAACGCAGGTGGCAGGAGAAAGACCTAAACATCTTTCAACCATGAACCCTTATGTCTCTTTACCACCACTTTAGATATATATTATACACATATATTCACATACTGTAATCCTTCACCTCCCACACAGATCTCATCAATGCATTTATTTTGAGACTACAAACAAAATGTAGATTATTGTATTTATGTGTCAGCGCAAACATCAGAATAAACCTTTAGAACGCATGTCTTAAGATCCCAACTTGCCTAAGTTTAACACTTAATTTCACCTAAACCTTTTGTATTTTCAAGTCTATAGACACTTGCGATGCCATACACCCACATGTCCTGGACACAAAACAGAGACCAGGCATGATCTATGTCCCATCTAACCTCTATACATGAAATAACAGTTCCTAATTTGCACTTGCAGGCCTACACATATCTCTACAGACCTTATTTTTAGTTTAATTAAAGCCAAGAACTCCATTTAATCACTCCAGCTCTTTGGCTGTACATTCACCCTGATCTTGGGCTATTTATTGATTAATCCATGTTTGGGAAAATCCAGCTGATACATCTTGTATTCAAGAGCAGAAGCTATTTTTAGGTTCTAGTATTTATAGTGCTGAGTGAATACAACAAACACTATACCAGGCCAATAAAACAAGACATTTTCTGTAAACAGATATTACAGATTGTGTACATTAACAATCTAGTCCAGGATACAGTATATAAATGTCTCTATTTGTTCATTCATAGTCCACTAAAATCAGCCTGCCCAACACTTTTAGGCCTAAAGATATAACAATCAGCTATAGCCAGAGCATGTATAGTTAACCTACATCCAACATACATTTATTAGGTGACCATTTTGAACCACAATATTATTAATCCTCCAAGCTTTAGTCCTTATGGCATTGTGCAGTTTGTACTTTTACCGCACACTTCATTCATTTCATATCCCTGCAGCTTGGCCGTGCCTGTGCATATAGCGCTACACCTAGCTCCATTCCTGCGGACCTGAATGCCACCACCAGCTTCTGTTTCACCTTCACCGCGCATCAATAACATGGCCACAGTTTCCGCTGTAGCTTTTCTACCAGATGGGGCTTAAACTCCTGCCTATTCCTCTCGGATCACTCCACCATCTTTCATTTTGCATCCAGGGAGATAATTCCTCTAAACCTCCTCTGGACTAGACTGCCTTACACTGTGAAGGGCACAGCCAGCCATGCTATCCCGGCTGCTGCAGATGCAACTCGAGCCTCTCTCCTCAGATGATGCACTGTTGTTGGGATAAAATGGGTGTGAAGGCACTGCACGGATATAGGGCATTTCAGCACCACTTCGCCCTGGACAGCGACTCCATCCAGCAATACCATCACCGAGAACACAATGTCAAAACGAGCACTCTCCACTCTGTCAGTCTATCATACACACACACACACACACACACACACACACACACACACACACATACACACACTCATGCACACACTGCTATACTTACAATTCCTTTATGAGCATGTTTGGCGGTACGACAGCCGTGTAGATCGCCTGTAACCCAGATCGAATAGGTCCCCAAAGCAGGTTGCTTCTTCTTTTCTCCGCTCGCTGCTGTCCCACCTCGCCCCTCTATGTCATTCTACCTTATTTCCCTCACATTCACTTCCTGATGTGGGCCGCGGAGAGGCGTCGCTGTTGCGCGCGTACAGGAGCCAGGCCTGTGCGGAGGAAAGCAAGGACGCGCTCACAGTAACCCGGTCCGTACCATTAAAATGTAATATCCTTTTCAATGTGTTCACAGCTATCTATGGAGGACTATAGCGTAATAAATAGCTTTTAGCTCCTGAAGTCAAAAATACAATATAGAAAAATACATACAGTACCTATAGTGGATAAATGTGGCAATGGAGGAAGTCACTAAAAATGTAAGAAGAGTTGTTCCCTCCGGACGAGCTCTGCGTCATCCAGTCGCGGTGACGTAGAAGCGTGGTTATTCTCCGTGGCAGTATCTATGCGAAGGATGCGGGGACCACCACTACGGCACAGGCGTGCACCGCGTCATCGGCTCATTCAGATAACGGCTGTATCCAAGTGGTGACGTCTGTGGGATAAAAGCACCAATGGCAAAAAGTCATGTAAATCCAACGACTACTTATGTGATGACGAGATGCGGAGGTCCTAATCTCGCCTCAGCAGCAGGGATTGGAACCGTGGTGTGTGCGCTTGAGAGGATGCCTGGAATTATGTAATCTCGTTCCGTAGCTGTATTTATAGTGTGACTGCCAGAATTTTGACATGTATCCTTTGCCAGGCCTCCTCTGTCCCCAAACGTACTCGAACGTTTGCCTCGATTTGACGATCAGAAAACGATTATTCTATTCCAACATTTTTGAATTGTTTTATGCTTATCTAGACATGGTGACTGAACGTTTCTAACTAGATTAAAATGGAAAATAAAGTCTATTATTGTGGTAGAGATTGTGATGTTAGTGTATTATTGTTATAAACTTTTATTGTAATAATAAAAGTAATTGAATGCAGTCATTGTCAGAAAATAATTATGGAAGGCTTTTTAGAATAAGTCTTATAAATATTTAAAAAAAGAAAATTGTATCATAATGCAATGTATTCTAATTTATCTTACTATATTATTGTTACTAGTCTGAATTGGTCAAATCTAAGATCATGGGAAAAAGTTAAAAGAAGTTTGTAGGTCTTTTCATTTGAACATTTCACTCGCATTTCATGTGCGATCAATCAAAAAAACAAACAAAAAACGTTTATCCTTTTTAAGAGTTAGCCGCAGTGCCGGCACAAATATTTCAGGGGGCCCTGCGCTACTTTCACTATAGGGCCCTTGCGATTCATTGCCATTTAGGTGAAAAAGTAGGCTGCTGTAAGCACCGCCAATGTCAAATACATGAAATTTAAATAAGTAAGTAATCTTTATTTATATATCACATTTTTACAGACCAAAGTCACCCAAAGTGCTTTAAAATGTTCAGAGTTCAGATATTGTTCCAGTCGCACATGCGGTAATGATGGAAACGAGACACTGAACACACTGGTCCCCGACCAACACCATCCATTCATTCATTATACATTCACGTCTATTGTGCATGTTTTTAGTTGTAGGAGAAACCAGAGGAAACCTATGCAGACATAGGGAGAACATGCAAACTCCACTCAGAGAGGCCCTGTTCTGACTGGGATTTGAATTGGTTGCAATGGGCTGTATGCGTAAAGCCCATTGCACAGTTTTCAAGTGTTCTTTTTCCGTATGGTATATGACTTCTATATCAGTTTTAATCGCTGCAGCACTTGTCCCACCCTATGTCCTGCAATTGTGTGTATCTCTATCCCCATCCTTTATGTGCCATACATTTATCATGCTCAGTTGAATGAGTGCCAAAGCATACTTTCATATATAAGCTGCCTGCCGGTGAGACAGATAGGGGTGTGACATGACCTTGTTCAGGTGAGCTGAAGAAACCTTTCACTGTGTGGCCCTCGTGTCCCGTGCACTGCGGCCTAGTTTTTGGACCAATGATACTTCTATGTTTTAGCTCTCGGCCATCTCTCTGGTGATGGAGGCAGAGTGTCAAGTGATAGCCATCTGTGAGAGTCAAGTATCAGATACACGAGCAGACTGAGAAACCCAATGGAGAGAAGAGTCGCACATTTATTTATCACATATTCGTACATTGTCTGCCTAACTGAATGTACTATGTGGATTCATATATGTAGAAAGACAAGGGAGTTCATTAAAAAAAAAAACATGCATTTTTTTTAGTTATTAATTGGATCCTTCAAATGGTTTTACCTTTATCGATTGGGTGAACTGAAATGTGTTTAGCGACCTCTACAGAGCAAATATAGGTAACGCACACTAGGGCAAGCACAAGCATCATTATTCTCAACATTTTGCTTCAATTTGCCAAATATTAAGGCACAGAAGCAGCTTAATAATGAGAGGAATACATTCTTATATCATGGCTACATATATCATAAGCCAGTGTTGGAACATCTTTATTTATTTAGCACCATGTCCAAAAACACTAAGGTTACAGCAGCACAATACTCTCAATCAGAATGTGTTTATCCCACTGATAAATAAGATAAGACTGTATTTAAGGTGCTGGTGGAAAATACAGCTGGCAAATTTATATCTACTGGCAAAATCTATATCTTACAGTTTACCGTTGTACATACGCCACTGAATAAATATTACAATAGCAAATAATAGTAATAAATATTCTAAAAAATGAATTACAACTGATGGTAAATAGCAAGACCACAATAAAACTACAGTACCTTTCTCAAAACTATAATATACATGGAATAGATGACTGATACAAAATGAAAAGATTGAATTGTCATACATTTTAAGGGTAAATTATTTAATAACAAAAATAAAAATACTAATAACAGATTTGAAAACAACTGCAGCTATATTCGGTTTTCCACTCATACATGATGTAGCGTCACTAAAGCAGAGGTGAGCAGGGAGTTACATGAGTATAGTTTAGACACTACTAGAGTAATATAAACTTCTGATAGAAATGCTTAGATCAGTTGAAAAAGGGCAAAGAATGAGAACAAAAACAAGTGTGTATTCAAAACCGCTATTGCATTGAAATAGGTTGTTAATCAACTGATCAAATATTTAAAACAGTAGCTTATAGTTTCTGTTCATGTCTCTTCTTGCTTCTAACTGCTTAAAATGATCTATCCTTGGGGCAACAGTGGCTCAATAGCGAGAGCACCCTTTAGCCTGAAGTTGCCCCCTGAAAGAACAAGCCAGGGATTAGGTAGCAGCTCCCTCCAACTCAGAAATACGGACTACGAAATGAAAATGAATGAATGAATGAAAACTATCTGCCCACCTCTGATAGTAACGGAATATAAATGAGGCCGAGAGGTTTTGGGGGGATGCAGAGGTCAGAAACCTCCTCCTTTCACAGTCTTTCCTCTCACAGCTTCATTTCCTGCTTCTCTTCTTCTTTGTTGAGTGTCATGGTCCAACAGTTTTGAAATTGCACTTTGAAATGTGGATTTGGGTTGAAATATCATGATAAAATATCTGAAAGGTGAAATATCTTCAAAGGTGTCTCTTCAGTATGTAATGTGAATATGTTCCCTTCGTTCATTAAACCAGGGCCTCCGGGATGTCAGAGCCGTTTATTTTGATGTAGATCTTGGCGTTCTCTTCTCTTTCCATTTGTTCTTTGTTGAGCACTCGTCTGTAGCAGATTAGATACAGAGGCAGCAGAAATCCCAGCATGCTCAGAACCAGTAGTCCAATGTTGACCTGAACAGAGCACACATTTAGCTCTTACTTGTAGATAAAGGACTGTATAATATTGTGTTTGTTTACTCACCCAAAATGGATCTCCCTCCAGGGGCCCCATCATTGCCAAGAACAGAGGCTGCTGTAGGAGAGCAAACACTGCACTGATCAGAGACTGCATTCCTGTCAGGCTGCCGAACTGAGACGACGGGTACCTGCATCACGCAGAATCATAAATAAAACAATAACCTTATTATATCATTTGGGTGAAATATGTTCCTTTGAAAATGGAAAGTGCAAAAAACACCAGCTATGGAGTACCTAATTTAAAAAAAAAAAAAAAACATTTTGTAAACAAATCGGACCACAAAATGCTGTCTTTATCTTTTTAGAAAACATTATTATCTTTAATTAATTGGCTGAGTGAGAACTGCTCCTCATTCAGCTTATTTACAGATGTGACAGAGGCCACTGACACACAAATGTGGAAAACTAGAGAAAGAACCAAACTACAGGAGGGTCCAGGACATTTATGGGCTTTGTCTTGCACTTCCTGTGTTCATCACTGCATTTTCGATTAAGTAAGTACGTAATGTTTATTTATATAGCACATTTTACAGACCGAAGTCACCCAAAGTGCTTTACAATATTCAAAGTTCAGATGTTGTTTCATTCTCTCCGCACACGGAGATGATGGAAGCGAGACGCTGAACAGACTGGCGCATCAAAGCCCCAATCAACGCCCTCCATTCTCTCACTCATTACATTCTGACCTATTGTGCATGTTTTGTAGTGGTAGGGGTAACCGGAGCACGCGTAGGAAATCTACGCAGACATGGGAAGAACATGCAAACTCCAATCAGAAAGCCCGTGCTCCGACAGGGATTCGAACCCAGGACCTTCTTGCTGAGTAGTTCTAGTTGGTTGATTCACAAATCAGCCACAGCCAAATTGACAATTCTGTAAAGTCCTCAAAGATGTTTGTATTATATTTCTATTTATAGTTTTATTTGGTTGGACAGTGCGTATTAATGAACAGCCGGAGCGGCAAATACACCAGATTGTAGTTATGTAAAACTGCTGTTGTGAATTAGGGCTGTAGGAATCAAATTGATCAAATTAATAAAAAACCATGTAACTGGCTCTAAAACATAGTTATCTTTGTGGTTTCAAAGTTAGGTACTCCTGCTTTTAACTCATTGACTGCCAGCCGTTTTTGAAGATTTCACTGACTTTCAAGACCCACAGAATATTGTGTGCAAGGACTATGTGAAATATGAAACCAGATTCTGAAATACTAAACTGTCTACTTTTATCAGCAAAAAAAAGCTTGTTTTTAGTTAATTTTGTTCTCCTGTAATCCCCAGTCCAATAGAGGGAAGTTTGACAGAAATCACCGGTCTCAGAGTTTATTCAGATTTTCGAGGAGAAAGGTTTTTGTCATCTCAAGCTTATGAATGGATTGAAGTCTAAAATAGATTGACATGGTTAATTCGTAGCTCACATAGTTTTATGATTTTATGGTACTTACACAGCTGCATAGAGGCCGCCCACAGCTGAGTGAATGAACCCTCGCACAATAGTGTGTAAAACAAATGACACGATCTGGACAAACACAACACACAAGGTTAGTACTTTATAGAAATGGACAGAGCACGCCTGGTTTTCCAAACATTCGACCTCTGAACATATTGACAGAGGTATAATGTTCCTGTTGTAAAAGCCAATCGTTAATTCATCCATATAACTAGACCACTTACCTGAACGTGCAAATTGGGGATGAGGGATGTGATACCAAATCCCACCAGCAGGAGGTTTGTGAGCACAAAAGCTCTCAAAGCATTTGTCACTTTCTGTGTCTTTTTGTCCCTGCGTTTTTTCTTCTCTCCTCTGGACACAAGATGGAAACAAAGTCAACTAAAGTGAAGCTATACATAATATTTTTATAAAACATACACAACTTAACGGAAAATCTTACGTGCTGGTGAGCTGTGTCTCTCCTTCTCCATCATCACACTCTTTCAATTTCCAGTCCATAATTTGACCAATCACGGGGGTGGTCATTAGACAGAGCAGCTGCAGCACGCCAAAGATGGACGAATACAAACTCACTGTGAGAAACCAATAACATGTTTTTCTAACAATACAAGACTTTAACATTGTGTTCTTGTTTTTTTCTCTAATTATAATACAATGGTGGTTAATCATTACTGGTGTGTCGAGAGAAACTGCATGCATCGGCAAGCAAATGTTCAAAGTCACGAGAACTCTGAGGCACTGTAATTAACACATATAGTTCTACAATGCTCTCTAGTAATGGCAGAAAAACTAAAGGCAATGTTTTTAATGTTATCATGTGGATATGTATAGAAAGAAATGGAAAAACTGGAAGAACTCAGAGTAGGTAAGTAGCATACAGTGTAAGGTATATCGATAATGTATAATATTAGCGTGAATACAAACTACTATTATTATACTACTACTACTACTACTACTACTACTACTACGACCACTACTACTAATACTACTACGACTACTTCGACTACTGCTACTACTACTACTACTACTAACAACTACTAGTTCCAGTACTGCTTGTTAGTTAATTATTACTTTGTTTGAAGGTCACTGATTTAAAAATAAATCAGTGATGACTGTAAAACTAAATTAAGTAATCTATAGATCATATCTTACCAACTTCCATTCTCTCCACTGAAAAGTCAATGGACATTTTGTAAATTCAGTTGCAAAATTATGGATAACATAAGATGAACTAAAATTCTAATTCTTATTTTTTTGCTTGGGGTAAAGTGTCTGACCTGTGTTAAAGTCATCAGTGAGAGACTCGAGCACACTGTTCATGGCTCCCATGTAGAAGAGCAGACGCAGCTGAGTGACCGACATAGTGACCGCGCTGAGCAGGAAGATGGGGCTGACGATGCTCTTCAAGAAGGACTGAGCTGCAGGAAGAGGCCAATGAATTAACAACGTCATATGGAAAATATGGAAAAATCTGTGAAAATGTGCTTGGTTATTATCAGTGTGAGGTTCTATTTATATTATTGTATGGTTACTGTACAGTACTATTGTACTGTATTGTGTTGTGTTGTATTGTGTTGTATTGTACTGTATTGTACTGTATTGTGTTGTATTGTACTGTATTGTACTGTATTGTGTTGTATTGTACTGTATTGTACTGTATTGTGTTGTATTGTACTGTATTGTACTGTATTGTGTTGTATTGTATTGTATTTATTTTTTGTTTTTTTTGTTTTACATGTAACCAGGGACTGCAGACAAAAATAAGCTAAAATCTGGTGCAGAACATATCTGTCTTTGAGCTAAATATTACTGTGCACTTTTCCTTTCAAATAAAGACTGAACTGAATATCCTTTATACTTGTTAGACAATATTTCTATTTTAAGATCGTGTTTTAGTGAGTTCTGCTCGCGTGGCTCATATAAAGCACAGACAGACACTTCGGTATCTTACTTTCCACTTGGGCCTTAGCGTCCATCTCCAGGTCCATCGTGGACAGGCACAGCTTGTTTCCATCTTTGATGGGCAGATCGTCAGGCTTCAGGCTTGTGCCCACACTGAGACGGCGCCCAACAGTAGTCACTTGGCGATAAAACAACTTCCCAGTGATTTTGTGATCGAAGCCCATCCAGCTGAACTTAATCTTCACACTAAGGAAACAGATTTGAAATAGCATCTCTTGCTCATATCATATTATTATAAAGCTGTAAATAATGTTGTGGAACAAATAATCATCATGAATCAACTGAAAACTAGATTCATCACTAAAGCAGAGCATAGATTATGTTACTTACTTTATTGGCCCCTTTAGGGAAATATCAGCATTCGACCCATCTCTCAATACCTGTCATTAGCACTTTTTTGAAAAATAAAATAAAAAGTAATCTATTTCTGAGTCCAAGTGGGCTCTTTTATCTCAGCAGAGGAATACACTGTATTTTCAAGCTGTCTGTTTTTAGTAAAGTACTCACGAGTAGTCCATGTCCTCTGGTCCAGGGAACGGCTCCAGTGGCCAGTTTAAGAAGCAGTTCAGAAACACCAGGCAGGCGCAGGCAGCCCACACAACCAGGATGGAGATGAAGGATATGTCCAAATCATAGATCACCTGTGGTCACCAAAACAATCATCACACAACTTAAATAATACATGGACTACAGTTTGAGATACAGTACTTGTATTTTATTAGTACCTTGACTCCTGGGAAGGTGACAGCTGAGGAGGCGTAAGAACCAATCATGAGAGCAATAAATGTGGAGCGAAGGTTTCCAAACATGTTCGGCAGCTGGAAACAGACGGACATTCATATATGTACACGTTAAACACTAAAACTGGTGGGGCCTTACAACAGGAAATTGTAAGTTAAGTTTCTGGGGTTGGGACTAGCATAGTAATTAAACATCTTCATAGTAGCAGATGCCCCACCAGGGATCAAAGTAATGAGAGTACAGCAACAAAAACACATCAGGCACAATATGAAAACACTGCATCTATACAGCTGCGATCTTTTACAATGCGAGGAATGAGGCCAGAGGACATTAAAGGACAAGGCTCTGTTGGAGTGTTTTGTTTTGGTTGTGGTCAGTAACACATGAAGCAAAAGAACATCACAAACATATGGCCAATGTACAGCTTTTAATGTATGTACAAACGTAGAAATTCAACAGCTTTTAGTATTATGTGGTCTTATGTAAACATCCCACGGAATAGACTGGACATTGAGAACCATGGTGATTTGAGAATTCACTTAAGGTAAATGGAGAGAAGAAAGTCACTCTCTGGTCACTGATTAACCCAGTAACAAACTGCGGATCTACTGGATGGAAAACATGTTTATGCCCTTTCTGAAGTCAAGGTGATATAAGGCAGGATTTAGGCAGAGATTAAGTTACCCATGCTTAAAAGAGTAAATGTACAGCCTGAGGTGCGTTTTAAGACATTTCATTGGAGTGATGTCTTGTATGTGTCCTTTCTAGGAACTGCATTGCCATGGAGCAGGGCTGGACTCCTTTTAAGAGTTTGAGGGAGGGCCACAGCCTGATGGACATCGACAGGGCAAGGAATGATATAGAGCTGACCTTTGAGCACAAGATATAATGATACAAAAGCACTGCAATGTGCTTCTAGAGAAAACAGCTTGTTTGTGTGTTGTTGCCTAATCTTTGTTGTTGAAGTTGTGTTGATCATTGTAGTTTTATTGTGGTTGCTTGATGGTTAGCCAAAGTTAGCTGAGCCTCATACTATCACAGACACAAAAAGAGACTGAAGTTAGAGATAGAGTTTGTGATTTTATTTTAATTTATTATAGAGTTATTAGTCATTTATCCTGTGTTATGTGCTCCTCGTTCCTACTGTTTGTAACTTGTGATGTAACACTGGAAATTCCCCCTGTGGGACGAATAAAGAATCCAAAAATTCACATTGAAGCTGGAACCTTACTTCACTTTCCCCCCGTAAACTAGATAATTTTAACAAAAATAGTTAAAGTAAAATGTTATGACCCACATGACAGCATGCATTCTAATCTTATTAGAAAACACGTTATCATTTGTTCATTGAAAGAAAATCATCCCTGAATGGCAGAGTGAGAATGGTTCTTTTCACTTTTCTGTCTGAAAAAGCTGAATAGAAGTGACGGAGGTCAAAAATATATGCATGTAAAAACGAGTGATAGAACTGAACAGGTTTTTGAGAGCAAAGAACTAGTTAAATGGATTTCATTATATGATTTTTTTTGTAATTGAATAAAATGTCGTCTCCCAGCTTTGATAATAACAATAGGTATATGCTGTTTCTGACCCTGGTTCATGGACAGCCTTTTTGTAAACAGCTCTGCTCAGTACAGTACACGGAGAACCTTTTCTGATGGCCCCTTTCCGAAAGACTCATCTAACTAATTAAAACTGTTGTCCCGTAAAAACACAGAGCTCAGTGTTGCCAAAGCCAAATGAGAGACGGTCAGGAATGCCAGGGCAGAGGGGGGGAAGGGGCACCAGGGTTATTACACATAAACTATAATGAGCCAACGGGGCCGCTCTCGTGATAATAGCACATTTACATCTGGACAAACAAACTTACTGTGAGAGAGGTGAAGGTCATGCACATGCCCCCAAAGCCATTAAATGTGAGGGCGATGAAGATGAGGACAGAGAGTTCTGAGGATGACACACATGTTTGGACACAGTAAGTGCGGGAACACCAAGACTCAAGGTATAAATAGGTTTTGGTGAACAGAATAAGCATAACTAGAGGCTCAAGTAAAGTGGATAAAACAAGGAATCCATAATAAAGCTCGGGTGTGTAACATTTCCCTCTCTGAAATAATCAATTTTGTTTGTTCACAACTGTTCATCTTATGGAAAACATGGATACAACTTTTTAATAGCTATCCCTTATTTATTACAAAAACATGTTGAATTAACACTTCATTAGTCATGAACAATTCATTAACTAAGTGATTGACATAATTCACTTATGTATTATTATTTAATCATTAAATAATTATGTAACTATTAGCAACTACATGTAGATGATTCGTTAAACCACATGTTAACGATTAAAACATGCATACATGATTATAAACTAATACTGTGGTATGACTTGTGTTGCCAAAACTTTTACTGAAGAAAGAAATCACTATTTGATGCTGGGTGACAGTGGTCTTCTTTTTTCACTTTTCTGTCTGAAAATGTTGATCTAAAACTGTTTTGAGAGCAATGATCTAGTCAAAAGGGTTTTACAGATCATTTTTGTGTGGATTGAAATTTGGTTACTCTATCTTAAGTAGGGTTGGAAAATACTTTAATACAGTATTAAAGCAGTAAAGAAGATGAATTGTAGATTGTGTGGCAAATAGAAGTATGTGTAACTCACCAAGCGTTGGATTGTTCACAGGTTAGTTTTACCCTACTGATGATGTGTTGTTGCAATAGTAATTGAGTAAATGAGTAAGTGATTTCACTCGGCCCCAGAGGAGGAGCGGACATGTTGTTTTTGTAACTTAAATGATATTGAAAATGAATTGCATTTTGTGTTTTATTGTTCTTTGTATCATGATCTGAGAAGGCAATTATTTTATAAGCTGTTTGATGTTGCTGAACTTTTGTTTGAACTGTCCGATGAGGAAAGGCTTAAGTTTCTGTTCAAGTATAAGCCAATTCATTTGTCCAAGTTTTTGTGCATGGCTCCCACGGAAGAGCACACTCTTTGTTTGATGTTTTTCTGATGTCTTATAAGCCCATACGCATCTTTAGGTGCAAGACACCAAATAAGAAATAAACTAAACTAAAAACTGACTTACCGTTTGGATTATAGGCTCCATACGCAATCATTAGACAAGACAGTCCAAAGCAGGTGCTGCAATAATTATAAGAGGAAATATACATTATTATTTTACAATATGTATGTAATTGTATGTGAGGGTTCCAAGGCTGCATCAAGTAGTGCACAGACTATATTCCTTTTACCTTCCCAAAAGTCGGAGTTTGCGTGGCCCATATTTGTCCATGACGATTCCCAGCGGCAGAGTGATGGCGGAGAGCAGGAAGGAGCCCACGGTGAAGGCCAGGTTGAGCATCTCGTCCTGCTCTTTACAGATGAGCCAGCCGTTCATCCTCAGAGGGCCATCGGAGGGCAGTAGAGGCTTCATCTCCACGCCATCGCCAAAGCCCTCCATCCCTGCCTCACTATAGTAGTCTGCATACTCATCAGGAGACGTGGTCGGCAGGGATACGTTAGAAGAGGTGCTGTGGTTACCTTTAAGTGAAAATGGTATGTTGTTAAACATGTGTATTTTATAGTGGTGAGAATTGACAAAATATGTAATTAATGAATATGAGTGAATGTTGGCTTTACATCGCTTGTTGAGTAAATGGGGGTTTAGGAGTCAAATATATTCAGTTTAATTTATTGTTTATTAAACAGGAACCATGAAGTATTATTCGATAAAACATTGTATTACATTTATACTACATTTTATTAACATATATGTAAATATTCATAACGAAGAGCAATAAAGTATAATACAGGACAATAGAGAAAAATAATTTGATGATAATCTACATGCAGAATATGTATAGTTGTTTTTCTTCAACATAAAAATGATATTTCAGCTAAAATCCCAATTCATCCAGTGACAGACCACATGATGGAGAGATTATTCAGCAAAAACAACTGCTGTTGCAACAAAATGTTGACTGTCTAAGACATTTTTTCTGCTGAATTAGCAGAACACACAGAAGTGTATTAGGCTTGTTTTCACTGTTATCACTTATTATCAACATCCACCATTTACAATCAATCAGTGGACTTTCAACAGACATAATGGCAGTAATAAATCCGCTGTCAACGACTGAAGTGTAAACCAGAAGCAGAATGGAGCTGAGCTGGTACTTCTCTCATTTTATCAGTCAGATAAGAACGGGTTAAGGTTGAAAATTCAAACTAAATGCACTTACAATATATACTTTGTACTTGTATCTTGTTACTCACTCCCAACATACTGTAACATACTGTACTTGTGGTTTCCCAAGACAGAAGAATGAATGAATGGATGATGGTTATGTAATAACTGTATGAGAACAACACATATTGAGAACTTTTTATATCACTAACCTTCCTCGTTACAAAGGTATGAATAGAAGCCTTCAGACTTGAGCATGATGAGCAGGGACCCCCATCCCAGCAGCACAGCAGAGAACAGCAGGTTTTCGATGATAGCAGTTACGGCCATAAACCAGCGCCTGGCAAATGCTGTAGTCAGGGTTGGAGCCATGATTTATCCCAAGAAAGTTGACAAAAGATTAGGGCTTGGGTGCTCGCTGCAGGCCTCCCCCAGGTGATACTGGAATAGCCACCTCTGCAGAAAGGAAAGTTGCAAAAGCAATGAGTAGTTTTATAGCATTCAAGTCACATGACAGGAAGGTTCAGCATTTCTGAGATAAAAAAGATTAACTTTGAACCTAAGACAACAAGCAAGATGACTGCATCACTGGGCGAACAACAAAAGGCTCCAAACCTGCTTCTCAGCATTCCCTATTCAATTTTGACTAATCAGAAATTGCATAATGGTCTGGGGGTGGTGTAAGGGTGGTGTTTCATGGATAAAACAAACTAGTCTAAACTGCTCTCTGAAAATGAGGCTCTTTCACATGGGTACCCCTCTCTGAACTGTCTGTCCCACAATCCAAAAGACTCATCCAAGCGAAACTCATCAATTCTTTGAAGCCACATTACTCCAAACAGTAACAATATCCAGAATTGAGAAGAGGATTTTTTAAATAAATAAATAAAATAGATAATCTGTATACAAAGAACAGGCCTATTCAGTGACACAATATTACTTTATACTATATTATATTACTTTCTACATAAGAAATCCAGTCTGACCTCACAGCTCGTGTCCAACTCCGCGAGCTCCTCTTGTCAGGAGAAACTTTTCTGCTTAGGAGCCACATTTTATAGCCATCGCATGAGTTCATATACAACGGAGCGCCCTCTGCTGACGAAACATACAACTACATGAAATAGGAGGAACAAGCAAAAGCTAATGCAAAAGAAATACAATGTGTTGCTCATTTCAAAGTAACAAACAACGATTCTATACGCTACATAAACAGCTTTATCCATCTATAGAGCGATAGTGGCTGATAATTCCCTCATAAACACTGAATATTGATTATTTGGTTCGAGTCTTCTATGGCATTTAAGCACATGTGATAGCCCTGCAAATCGAAACAGCATAACTTGTCTCATTGAACAAATAAACATGTTTTTTCTAATTAGTGAAGAACTGATTGCTTTAAAAGAAACACTAATTGATTGTTTGCAAAGACACTACTTGCCCTATAATGACCTTCTTTGTCCGGGTTGTTTGCATCAGAAGAGAGACGTTCTGACAGTAGGCTATAGGAGAGTAGTCTTTTTTGATCTCCTGTGTTTTCATGCAAATCAATCAGTGAGGGGGGACATCGCTGGTGCCATCTAAACACCAGGATAAGCGCCCTGTTTGTTGTGGAAATCAGATGTCCCGCATTGATCAGCGCGTTGTGCATCGACGGGGGGCAGACTGTGATGGTGCAATGAGTATAAACACGCAAACTAGTGACGCATTACATAAGCACGTTTATTAGGTCATACTGTTTCATTCTGATGCTGGTCAAAGACTGGAAAGTAGACCTAACTGTTGTTTATTTCAATCTAGAGTACCTACATTTGAGACCACAAAAATAGCTACCTAAATAGAAAAAAATAAATAAAACATACATGATGCAACAAGTTCCCCTTTCTAAAAAAACAGTTGTGTTCCTTCTCTTGTTGTACGTGTTGTTTCCCACATCTTTACATCGGATTCTCAGAGAAAAAGAAGAAGAAAGTACTCACTCTTTCTATCAAGATAAAGACAGCATGTTGTGGTTGGGAGAGACAACATGTATTGATAGTATGTAACCACAAAAGTGCCTAATTATTCTAACACTAATTATACTAACACTTTTCCAAGCACTGAACTTTTCTGAAGTTTTGCAGCTCTCAGTACGTATAGATAAGACGTTTTCTTAGGTCTTAGGTTATATATCTTATATGTAAGATTTCGATGTTCAGACTTTTACTCATTATACTCCTTACGCCTTACTTTTAAATGCAAATAAATGTACTTTATCGATCTGTATTTCGATATGTGGCTTAGTTACTTTGCAGATGACAGAAAAGTAACATACAAATGAAAAAGTGTGCCACATCAATTATCAATTGTGGTTAGCCATGCTTCTAAGTGATTATCTATATCAACATGAAACTACAGTATTGTCCAAATAAACTTCTATTAATTGTTGGAACATTTTTACCTGCGTGGATTATTATGATTCTTGTAATAATCCTAATCATAACCATAATAATAATAATGATAGCTATCCAAATATATACACTATCCCTAAATTACCTAAAACTTCAGTCAACTCTCAGCCAACGTCTCTCAAAAATGGGTAATTGTTACGCCCCCGTGTGGACAAAACATTTTTCAGACAAAGCTTATCAACATCACAGGTTCTACACAAAAATAAATTTTATTGCACATTCTGCAATTTGTTATTTGATCATGTCATTTTTTAACACAAGACCATGTAAATAAGAGAAATTCCAACGCACAAAAAACAAAGCAGCAGTATTCACATATAAAAAATCTTTGCACATTTCATTTGGTTTGTTTTTACTTTGGACTGACTTACTATCAAATAAACCAAAACAATATTTGTCCCTGTTTCTTTGGGTCTTAGTGCAATGAGGATAGTTTGTGGCGGGTTTCCCTTTTCTACTGAAGTTCAGCTGAAGCCAGAAGTCCCAAAAGCAGCGTCACCGCAAAGGCATCCAGACGCCATCCACTGCCGGGAACTGCCAAAAACACAAGAAAGGAACAGATAAACAAGAATGATATACAAAATACATGACATTTAAACAGCACACAAGGTTTATGCCACAGAATATGAAATTTCAGTGCCTGAAAAAGTTCTTATGTTTATTATGTAGAGTAGTATTTTGGTACTTCGTAAAAAACATTTAGTTTGGCATGTAGCAATAAAACCTATCCATTTCAGAAAGAACAGGGATTATTTCAAAAGGCTATTTTTACCCTACATTTTACACAGTACAGTATGAACTTGTAGTATATACAGTAAGTGCATATGGTTTATGAACTTAAATATCATTAATGTACTTCATTTGTGAATATTGTAAAACACATATGGACAAAACAACTTCTGTTATAAGCTTGAAATAAACAAATAAACCGTCCGACCAGGGTAAAGCTAGTTTCCCAATTGAGCAGTTTATTTGGATCATTAATAACAAAATGGCTGCAAATGCTGTAGGTCATTTGGCACATGTTCTTCCACAGTTGAAGTATTACCACTTACCAGTAGAGGTGAGTGCTGTAAAAAGATAAAGGCAAACGTGTTAGATAATATTAATTATAACAGAATCGTAGTTATGTGACACTGATACCTTGAATGGTGTAGGTGGTCTCCATGCCTGCATGGATGTGGTCCATGACGTGGCAGTGCAGTAACCAGGTGCCTGGGCTCTGAGCCACCATCTCTATAGTCTGAAACGTCCCGGGGAAGAGATCAAAGACATCAGCCCGGTGCACGCGGTCCATCTGCTCAAAATCACACAGGACAGGAAGAAAAATCAATACATTCAATTAAACCGAATTAAATATTGGTTTTACATATAGTTAAACATATAAACTTTCTGGTTTGGTTTGTGCACAGTTTAGTTCTGATATAGATCTGTTTCTTTAATTCTCCGAAAAAATAGAGGGACCGGGAGCAACTATGGGGGACTGTAACCGCTTCTTTTGAAAAACTAAATTGGACCAGACTCACAAACTTGCCATCACACCAACAAAAGTCACTTGAAACTATGGCTTAATGATAATAAAACCAGGCAACACTGACCCTGCATACTCTCACAGACCAGGATTAGTTTGAATGTTGTCTTCCAAAGTAACACTCAGACACAGCTGCACATACGTTTGCTTACCCTGTATGTGAAGGTTTGTGCGTGGAAGTGGACAGTGTGCATGTCCACCTCATTCCCCATTCCCAACAGATACCAGTTCACTCTCTGGCCCTCGGTCATCACCAGGCCCTGGAGGTTCCCAAACACCTTGCCATTGATGCCTTAAAAAACACACACACACAAACACACACATACTATATCACCAGATGAATTGGTCAACGCACATGACTCATTATAAACGTCATTTTGAAGTCAAGTAGAAAGAGTACTGCATGTTCTGCTTGATAAGTGCTTTCTGGTAATCTGTTACTGGTCTTGTTGCCGTTGTGGTGGAAGCCAGTACTCCTACACTGACTATGCAGAAGTAGGATGTGGCTGAAAGTGCTTTGTGTGAGAAAACATTGGTGTTAGTAATAAGGAGGACAAAGTTAAGACTAAAGTCTTGTGACAGTTTTTTCCGTTTTGTGCTCTGTGAAGAATAACCAGGATTTCACAACATTAAACATTCATATTTGTATATAGTGTAATAGATTACATTAGTACTACTGCATAAGATATTACTGTAATACGTATGTAGTTACATATGATGGCATTTTGTATTACTTACTGCGAACATTCATGAGTGCACAGTTTGTTCATTTTTTAATTTTTTTTATAAAACTGTGTCCAAACCATTCCTACAGATAACACTTTTTTAATCTGCCAGGCTACAGGGCGGACAAAACTCTCTCTACCCTCTGGAACTCACAGACCAATCGCCTCCATCTCACCATCTTCAAATCCCTTCACTTACAAACAGCGTTCACTTAAATCCACTTAAAGCTGTATAATTGTTATTTTAAAAACATTTGTTAATCCTATAAATGTTGCTTTGCACTTCGAGGAGGGAGACACACATTTAACTGTATCTATGCCGCTGAGTATAAAGTGTTGTGTATTCACAGTAGTCTTCACAGTGGACTCCACACATTTCCATCATGTCTTCAGTTTAAGACTGGACTCCCTTTATGAAATGGGTGGAGTCTGGTGTGCTTACAGTTGTTTTAATCCAGAGTGCATGTTAATCAGGAGCTAGTCAAAGATCAGAGGACAACAATATTGTGATAAAGTTAATCCCTCAAAATTCCCTGAAAATGACGGGTACTAATTTTATGAGGAACTGTACAATGTCTTTATGTAATATTGCAAAAATGTGAAATAAAACCAGCTAAGACGGTCTTATGTGCCCCCCTAATGTTTATGATTCTGTAGACCACTTAAGGATCAGCTCCTTAAGTACTTTTCCATGGATCATTAAATTGAACATTTCAGTTTGGGTCAGATATAACACACAAACCTCACAGCTCTTACCGTGCATCATGTTGCTTTCCTCAAAATCTGCATCTTGGGTGATGCTTCCAGGGTCGACTCCCAGATAAGTTTTGATGTTTTCATCCAAATACCAGGACTGGTTTTCATCGTGAACCATAAACAAAAGAGCGAACTCTTTGTCCACACCCACACTCTGCCTGTCAGGTGTCATAGAACCAGCCCGACACACCACAAGGGGCCCCAGGAGACCACTGTACATGTCCTCAAAAGACATAAGACAACACAGCATTATTCAATTGGTTTGGATATTGTATGGAACACACCAAATGTGTCATTCAGATTGTTTCACCATTGAATTATTACACGTTGAATTTAGACTGTTGAATTTAAGCACTTATAAATATATGCATCAACATACTGAGGGTTTTTTTATTTTATTTTTTTATTTCGGATTAAAAGCATTATGAAATTGATGAACAGATGAATTCAGTTCTATTTAAAATTCAAAATCTGATGGAACAATTTTTCCATCTTTTGTATTTAATCAACATTCACAGTGCATTGAATTTGAGGGCTGGAAAATAAACATATCTATTTTGTTATGAATATTTCAAAGGTGAATATGTAATTTTGATCACATTGAAATTTGTAAACTGAATTTTTAGTGACTGAAATGCAAAGACATTTTTCATGGTTAAAAATTAAAAATGAACAGAACCATCTAATGACACTGAAGCAGGTCATTAACTCATTGACTGCCATTGACGTGTTAACACGTCAAACTAAATAGTAACGTTGTCTGCCAATGACGTGTTAACACGTCAAACTAAATAGTAACGTTGTCTGCCAATGACGTGTTAACACGTCAATTGCGTTTCCCGCTATTTTTACGTTCCCAGCTGTCCATTGAATCTAATATGTGGAGATTGGCTTGAGGCAATACTTTATGGAGCCAGCAGATGGCAGCATTGCGCTATGAATGGTTTGAACACAGCTAGATGCACTGTTTGTGGCCCTTTTTTCTCAGCTTTCTGGTGATTTCAATAAAACTTCCCTCTACTCAACTGGGGATTACAGAAGAACTAAACAAGATAGAAACAAAATTCTTTTTGCTGGTGAGAGTAGACAGCCCATTCTTTCAGAATCTAGTTTTAGATTTCAGATAGTCAAAGTACACAATATTCTGTGGGTCTTGAAAAATCAGTAAAAACCACCAGAAACGGCTGGCAATATGGGAGTACCTGTTTTGAAATGGGCTGGCAGTCAATGAGTTAAAAGTGAAATCATAAACTTAAAGGAATATACAGTGGGTGGATATTCCCAAATTATAGGAATGAACCGCCCTCTCTTATTTGATCACGTATCACTAGAATGATGGACAACTGGGAGCACAAATAGTCTTGATGATCCACCCGGAAGTAGAAAATCAACTGCATTTTCTTATGAAATAAACAAAAAATGTATATTTCTAACCATGGGACACTGTACTTTAATGTAGCAAATAACAGTATTTAAATAGTCCCGCTCCTTGGCATAACTATAACCAGATTTAAGATATGTTGGAGAATAATAGTTAAACCAATGACGAGGGGCCTCAAGGATATGATTTTATTTCGACCAATCAAGAAGCTGCGAGGGTGAGCATGTGTGGAACTAACCAGTACTTTTCTTCAAAATGTTTCGGTCTCTCTTTACAATTTGACAAGTAACTTACATCCAGTTTAAGCTCTTTCACATGAAGTTTAATGAATAATGTGTGTGTCTGACTAATAGTTACCTTGATATAATCTACGGTTGAGTAGTAGGCGTAGGTGATACAATCAGGATCGGAGGCTCCTGGACCAACACTTGGAGGAACGTACCAGGTCATCTCAATGACGTAACCTGTGAGAGAGAAGTGCTTTCAATCCAAACCCAGTCAGCTCCCTCAGGTGCATTTATGTTCTCTCCCTAAACAACGACTTAAACCACTTCACATTCATTAGCAATACCTCAATTCCCTCAGTAGGGAGAAGATAATTGTTATAATTGTTGTGGGTTCTTGTATTTTCTCTTACATACTACACTTCTGTGTGTGGAGTGAAAGAGAATTGTAGAGTGCTTTGTGTAACCTTGGTCTGCGAAATGCACTTTATAAAATACAGATAATTTTATTTCTTCCTATGTTCAGTTGTTGCACACAGACTTGGCTGTAAAATATGTGTAGTTGTTTCTGCTCTGCAGACTCACCAGGCTGGACATGGATGTTTGATCCACTTGATTTGATGCCCTGTGGTGTTAGGGAATAGGGTCTTGTGGCCTTGTTCTTGAATGTAACCAGAATTTGGTCTCCAACCTCAGCTTTGATAATGGGACCTATCAAAACAAAAAAGTTGAATGAATCTAAAATATAAGACACGAAATAGTATACATGTGTATTAGTATACATATTTGAATGCTGTGTTAAAGCAACCACTACCATGTGGTTGTCACTTCATTTGAGAAATTGCCAAACAAATGTATGGGAAATACTTTTGTTTTAAAAGCCAGAGAAGAGTTAGTCTGGCCTTAGCCATCCGTACACTCCGCTCAGTCATCATTTCACTGCATGTAAAGTCTGGGTTTAATTTCGACCAACAAATTAGCGATTGTAAAAGCTTAATTTTTTATAACATGTCTCCTTTAATGGTTGAAATCAGGACACAATGTTAATAGACATTGAAGATAACCAAACTTTTGATGAAGCCCCTGAAAATGAGGGATCGCACCATTTTAAATGTAACATGGTCTCACCCAGTAATTCCAGGTGCGTTTCGCTCGGGGACCTCCTTTTCATAAATTTAAAAGTCTCATCAGTGTATTCTCTGTACACCACCTTCTTGTAGCGTGAGCCAATCCGGTTTGGCCCTTGTTCCACAAATACACTACCAGGGCTAAACAAAAACATGACATAAAAAAACAATTTAAAGTATTTGTGAAACATGATTTATATCTGTGCACTTCTAAAGCTTTTACTTCACCTGTCTTCAGCTGGAACTTGATGTTTTTCCAGCTCCCAGTTCCTCTCTGGAGAATAGTCCCACACTATTTCCTCAGCACAGATAAAATATTGCACAGTCTTTGTTGGTTTATCCTCAGTTGGATTGACGTCTGCGTTGCACTGTTTGACTTCATACTGCTCTCTCATCCCGGCTGAGTAGTGGTCTGTTACTCTGCAGCTCACTTCAAATACACCTGAAATATTCACAGGATAGAAAATCTGACATTTAGAGTAAATCATACAATAATAGTACAGAGTTAATATTACAAAGGCTAATAAGAAACATAATGCAGTGCTGCTATTGAAAGAAACAGCAACATAAATAAGCCACAAAATCATTTTTTACCTGTATATTCTTGGAGGCCAATGGTTGCTGTTAATAATGTTGCCACTATCCACTTTGTATATATAGTTGTAAAAAAATGAAATGTTATCTATTAAAATTTCTCAGTCAAACAACTACTGAACCTGCATTGCACTAGGGACGTTCATGAATGACAAATACTATCTGTAATATATAGTACTTGACTGAATCTTTGGATGACAAAAAAGAAGAAATGCAGGATAAAACTAAGATAAAACAAGAAGTAAATTACATTAAGAGTGATGTGCTTTTATGACAGCCCTGATTTGGCTCGCAGACCACAGATTTAACAGGCTTGCACTCCATAGTTACATATTGAAACAATATGTACAGATTTGTTTAATTATTTATTATATCATTATTCTGAATATTGTACATTTTCTTAATATAGTATTCAACCATTTATAATTTTTACATCTCCAGTGTTTCCTCTTCAGCCGTGGTCATCAGTTTGGAGGCTCAGTTTTATCTCTTCTTTGGGTCCTGTATCGTCCCCAGTGACTGCAGTCGGATTTCTGCTCCTGGTTCTGATAGCTTCTCGGACCATTTTGCATTCAAACTAACACTCAGTCTCTTGATTTATGCTTTAGTTTTAAAACTATAATTAAAATTCTTGGAATATGAGTTATTTTCAGCAGCAGGGATAGTAGTATTAAAGACATGCTTTAAAACATTTCAAATATGTACTTTACACATAATATTTACAGTCTAGGATATGCGCGCTGTGTTATTGTTCTGTGAAATGTGCTATATAAAAAAAGATGTCTACGAAGTACAGTTAGGTAAAGGTGCACTTTATTGATCCTGTTGGGCAGTTCATCCTCTGCATTTGACCCATCTTGATGCCACTAAGGCTTACGTCAGGAGCAGTGGTCGCCGTAGTAACAGCGCCCGGGAACCCATCTCCAGATGTTGATGCTCGGCTTGGTCAGGACTACCAGAGCTGGAGGATTTTAACTAATGTGCACGTTTATAGTGGTAGGGGAAACCAGAGGACCCGGAGGAAACTTAGAGAGCACAGGCACGGGGAGAACATGCAAACTCCCCTCAGAAAGGCCCTGTTACGTCTGGGATTCAAACCCAGGACCATCTTTCTGTGAAGCGGGAGTGCTAAATACTCCTGAAATGGTTCTCATAAATCTTATAAACATGTCAAAAGTTACTGTAAATAACATGAGCACTGACCTTGAATGAATATTTCCTGTTGTGTTCCTCACCGGGTTTATCTAAGTACATCTTCTTTCAAACAATTTTCTGAGGAATGTCCGGCCTGCCATTGTGTGGGCTCGTAATGTTTGCGTGACTGTAACTGTACTGACCGGGGCTGGTTGGCCGCATGTCCACGGTGGAGGTGGTGTGAGGAAACAGGCTGAGAGTGTCCCGAGTGGTGCTCTGCTTCTCAAAAGTGTTGCCTTGAAAATAAACTCCATGGAGATCCACCTCAGTGCCCAAGCCAAAAGTGTACCATCGCACCCGGTCCCCAGCGCACATCTCCAGGCCGCGCAGGTTCCCATACATCAGGCCATTTACAGCTGCAGATCAGACATACTATTACTGCCCAGTGGTTCCATACCAGTTAAAAGACACCTAGAACTAGAACGCCACCTAATGACAATGAATTTTTGTTGTATATAATATTGGGAACGCTGTTGTTGTATATAATATGAAAAATTGTCTCCAATATCAATAAAGTTTCCAGTATAAATAGAGTTGGGAATTGCAAGTTAATCATAATTAGTAGTGTTGAAATTCAAGTTTTACTAATATAATTAATGTGGCAGCTTCACTTGAAAATGAAGTGTCCAGTCTATAGAGTAATATTGTGTTCATTATTTTGGACAATGGGTGCAATCTTCATTCATGGATAAAATGTTTCTGTTACTGACACCTATTGTTATTATTATCATAATTCCTTATTATTAAGTAACAAGGAAAGGCATTGCCAGTAGGAAAAAAACATTTTAGTTCATATAATAATACAATTCTAAATAATATTCAATTCCATGTGTGATTTTGGCTTGAAAAAGTGGGTTTAGTCCCTGTAAACTAAAATATAGTGCCATGTGGATAACATTTTAACGGTCATCAAAATTTATCAAAACTTACCATGCATTTTATTGCTTTCAATAAAATCGTCATCCTCTGGATTAGACTGGCTACTGCCAAACTGCTGAATATTTTCATCTAAATACCAGCTCAAGTTTTCATCCATGACAGAAAAGAGAAAAAAAAACTCTTTGTCCACACCCCTCTGTGAAGAGAAAGTTTATGTTACAAACTCTACACAACAGCATCAGGTAAGTTAGAGGTACATATCTACAACAAATGGCAAACCTCTTACACAACATACTTAGTATAAAAAACAAATTTTATAGGTCATATCTTAACAATAGCAAGATTATCCTTAACATGTTTATATTTACCAGGGTTCCGTTTTCTGTCAAAGAGCCTTTTTTGCACACAAGCAGAGGTCCCACGAGTCCAGAGCTGGTGTCTTGGACCGAGTCAGTTGCAGAGTAGTAAAGATACGGAATACATGAAGGGTCCGACGCTGAGGGACCCTCCAAAACCTGCCATTTGTATTTAAAGATGTCCCCTGGGCCAACATGAGAACCAGGATTCTCCAATCCTTCAGGAGATAAATAAATAATAATAAGAATATTAATGATGATGATAATAATTATTAAATAAAATCCTCCTATTACTGTATATACTACCTCTCATTCGAGGCAGTTTAGGCATATTCCGATTTTTAATTGCTTCCTACTATGTTACCACAAAGTTGGAAGGTGTCCGTCAAAGATGACATTTGTTGTTGTGTTAATTACCATCCATGTAGCTGGTGCCCTGAAAGAGTTTGCCGTAGTGCAGTCCGTGCGGCTGGATGCTGTAGTTTCTGTCAGCCAAATTCTTGAATATGACTTCAAGTGTGTCTCCTTCTTCCGCTCGCAGCACTGGGCCTGGACCAGGGCACATGATCCTGAGTAAAGAGCACTGGGAGTCTTACAACAGACACACAGAATACATTCTTACCCAGGATTCCCCGGTGTTCAGGTGATATGGGTTTCTTTGTGGTGAAGCTGCTATCTGTATATTCTGCATATATCACCTTTCTGTACACACCACCAATTCTACCAGCTCCTTTGCCAAAAAACACCTCTGAGGCACTGAAACAAAAAGAAAAGTTGTGGTGTTCATCAAACAAAACGCAACAACAAAACGCAATCAATGTTAACGCTTCCTACAATAAAGTCACTTTGTCCAGATACTGACCACACGTGATTTTGCATTGGATACAAAAAATGTAAAGCAATTAGGGAGAGCCAGATAAAGAGATATAAAGATGTAGTGACAACACTGTTAACAGAGTGCATGGTTTGGTAATGACACAAAACTGACTATTGTTGATAAATCACCAGTCACCCCCTTCTACATTCAATATGCCACACAAAGAACCCTGAATATCACCTCTGACCCCTCACATCCTCTGTACATCACCTGTTCACACTCATGTCCTCAAGGAAGCACTTCAGATATAAAAAAACCCCAAACATTTTTATATTGTCTGTTTGACAACATGACACTGATGATACTGGGCAACAAAGTTTATTGCTAATTTGGATTCCGGAGTATTTAACAGAGCATGTGTGAAAAACAAGCTGAACCGGCTATTTCTTTTTTTTTTTTACTATTTAATACATTCATGTAACTAATTCTTTCAAAACAGTTGGTTTATTTTGGCAAAGCTGTGTTTTTATGAAAATAAAAATAATAAAGTTAGGAACACCAGATTAAATCAAATCCATCTGTATCTTTTTAATATATGTCTTTAAAGATTTTACCTATCAGGTTCAGTTAAAGAGACATTTGCGATCAAATCTCTTCTTGAGGGTGCATAATTCCAAAGCACCTTCTCTGCTGCCAGATAGTACGTTCGAACCGGCCCAGTGTTTGGTGTGGGGCTGACATCACTGCCACAGGATTTTACCTCGTAATAGCCCTGCATTCCAGCTGCAACACAGGGAAAGATAGCGGATGTACTTTATGAAGTACAGAGGGAAAGTCTAAGGGTCAGGGTTAACGATACAGTAAGATGATAAATGAACTGACATGTCCTGTTGCTAGTTGCAGACAGGGCTACAACATGCATCTACTCTTCTCCCATAAATGTAGCATTCTATCATCAAGGACAACAGCAGCAACAGTTGGATATTACGCATAAAATATAATATAACATTTGTGTTGCAAAAATGTGGAAACTCCGTTATGACTCAGCCCTTTTAATCTGGCTGATGACAAAAAAATAAGTCAGTACTCAAAAGTCAGCTAAATTAATCAAGGAAGTGTGAACTTTGAGCGGATGTTAAATAACTGTGGTATGTGGAGCTTGGTAAGCAGTGGGAAACACCATTATTGTATCATTTGTTTGACTGCCTCACAAAATAGCATACATTCCTTTCACAAACTCAATCCCACAGTCTCAGTCTCAGAACAAATAGGCTAAAGACAAGTGAGTTCAGAGATCAGACTAAGGTCAAAGGTGACATGCCCTACCCTGCATGTGGTCATTAACCTGACACGCCAGGAGCCACTTTCCCTTTGCCTTTGGGACCATCTCAGCGGCGGTAAACGTGGCAGGAAACAAACTCAAGACATCAGTTCGGTGTCCACGGTCCAGGACTGTGTTCCCGTGGAAGACAACGGAGTGAATGTCCTGCTCGTTACCCATCCCAAAAAGATGCCAGGCCACTGTCTGGTGTTGGCACAACTCAATATTGGGCAAGTTTCCAAACATGTAGCCGTTAATGGCTGTGAAAAGAGAAAGAGATAAGACAAGGTGAATCATAAAATTTTTTTTTATTAAAGTGTCAAACTCATTTTAGCCTGGGCCGGAAAATTTTTGAAGGTATACTGTATGACAAAAGGATTACATGTATTTAACATTAGTTTGGATATCATATCTGGGTTTGTTTGGAATGAACTGAAATGGAACTGACGATAAAGAAGGCGAGTAATTATAGGCTGATAAAAAATCTTTGGCCAATTTAACCATTTCTGACATATTGGGTTCAAATCAGGAATAGAATACATTAAATAATCTGGTTATTTTCTTGAGAAACATCGTACTATCAATTCTGCAAGTTAATCATGATAAATAAAACATCAGGGGCCAATCAAAATGTCTCCCCGTGTGTTCGACACATGAGCACAAGTCAAATTCAAATAACTGTAACAGTTGGTATAAATCAACTTCAAATGTAGTTAACCCATTTCCTTTAAGTGCTGGGCCATCTAAAGTCTCTTGAAATCTAGAGAAGGAATGACAAGTTCTCACCGTGCATCAAGTTCGACTCAATAAAGTCTTCATCTTCTACATCAGGTGGTTCTGTGAGGTTACGCATGTTACTTTTCAAATACCAGCTGTAATTTTCATCCACAATGTGGAACATCAAAATGACATCCTGGTCGACATCACTGCGAGACAGATCCTCCTTTAAGATTCCTGTAAGATTGCATTAATGCAGTATTACAATTAAACCATGGGTTCAATATTGCACCTGTTATATTTTTTATATCATCATACCTTTCTTACAGGTGAGAAGAGCTCCAATTAACCCTGAGTTAATTTCTTTGGGGGCATCAATGTGAGAGTGGTAAACCCAAGTTAGGCAGTTAGCATCATCATCTGTAGGTGCAAACTCGGGTCTGACCTCCCAGCGATAAGTGAAGCGACCTCCGGGTGGCACTTTGTCATCTGCTTTTAACCGTCCAGAAGTACCATCTGGATACATCGCCCCTAAGAACATGTCCTTTGAGTTAATACCGTGCACTGCATTCCAAAATGTATGTCAAGGTCACATAAAATATGACGATTAAATTCTCCTTGTTTATAATATTATTTATTTATTGTATTCCTGCTAGTGCTAAAACCCATTATTCTACAAAGCTTTCCGGAAACTTTGTTACAGGACCTTCAGGAGAACACACACTGACATGATCTCTTTCCTCGATAAGAGATTAGAAATTTGGATTTTTCGAAATGTTGTGAGGGGCACACAGTAACATAATAAATGCAGTTATCAGACACTGATGGTGGTCTCCATTCTTCAGGAGAACATACTATAGGTGTGAGTCATTGTTATGTATGAGTTTTTGTCCTCTTGCTATAAATATATATAGAGATTGTAAGCACAGAGACCGGGGGACTTGGGTGGAAGTGAAGCGGCAGAGAAGGCCTTGTCATTTGCCCATACTGTATCTATTGTAAAGAAATAACCTCTTTTACTTAACAGAGGTGTTGGAAATGGATCCTTACTACATAGATCGATTCAGTCGGACATATGTATTTATTCCACAACAGATTATTGATTTTGTTTGGTTCAATAATGCTGAATTAAAGGTGGTGCACATGAACAAGTGATATATCCAAAATCTTTGAAGATGATCTGACTAGATAGATTTTTATCATTAAGTAAAGGTATATTAGTTGTTAAACACCTGTTCCCTTCAGACAGAGGGAAGTCCTTGTACCATACTCTTGTGTGTAGGGTACAAGGACTTGCCAGCCCATGTTATTGTGAACACCCCAACCAACTGAAGTATTTAGTTTTGTGTATTAGGACAGACAATACATCATCACTTACATGTGGGTCAGGTAAAGGTTAAAAAACTACACGAGTCACGCAAAGGTTAGAGCTTTACATTACGACAGCGTGTTTGGACATGCAAGACTGTCTAGTCAAAGTTTGGGCTATTACATACATTGGTCTTTACCTTATACATGTATGTATTCTTGCAAAAATTACTCCATATGAATGATGCGTTTTTCCATGGTATATTACAATGTGATTCCCATTAATAATAATCATATCAATAATAATAAAAATGATCACATGCCATTGTTCATTCGCTCTATACATGGTGTGGATTAACAATGACTGTAGCCACAGCTGCCCTGTGGCACACTGACAGAAGCGAGGCAACCAGTGCATGGCCCCTCCGACCACCACCAATCATACACACAGACACACACACACCAGAATAATATAATTCTCGGCAATGTAGATAAGGTGTCTTTCCTGAGGACACAACAATAGTTTACAGCCGCAGCTGCCCCAATATGGCACCTGATGTTTCCAGAGGTCTCCCATCCCAGTACTAACCACCTCCTTCCCTGTTTTAGTCCTAGATTACTTTATAATACTTATTTTGAATGTTTTAGCATTATTTGTATGTTTTAGAAAATAGGTTAATAGAACACGGCACGGTGGCTGAGTAGATAGCACTCTCGCCTCTCAGCAAGAAGGTCCTGGGTTCCAATCCCGGTCGGACCAGGGCCTTTCTGAGTGGAGTTTGCATGTTCTCCCCGTGTCTGCGTAGGTTTCCTCCGGGTACTCCGGTTTCCCCTACAACTAAAAATACAAACAATAGTTCTGGCATGCGCCTCCTGTTCGGCGACCCCATCTCTGTGTGGAGTGAGAGACAAATGCCCAAAATATAACAATTGTAAACCGCTTTGTGACTCTGGTCTGTGAAAGGCGGTATATAAATAAAGATTACTTACTTACTAACAGTAAAGCCATTTTTCTTAACATTCACGTTGACCTTAAATTCTCTGGCACACAACACTTTTTCCACTGGAAACGGGGATGTAAGCATGATACACACTCCAACTCCCACTTTCCTGTTTCCTCTTTATATCCACACTGTTTCTTGTAAGCAAAGAATATTATTTACATAGGTCAATTTCATGTTATATTAGTGAATTGTACTCCTGGGTCACTTATAGTTGAGAATGACAACAACAACAAAACATCACCTTCTGCATCTTTCTCATAAAAGACTCCGTGTGGGTGGATTGAGTAGCCTCTCGATGCAAAGTTCTTCAGATGCACCACCATCACATCACCCACTTCGGCCCTCAGCACAGGACCCAGGTATCCCAGCCATTGTGCACGTGGAGCCAGCTGCGTAAATGTGCCATCAGTAAACTCGCGATACATTGCCTTCTTATAAACTTTGCCAATTCGATCTGGACCCTCTGCGAGAAAAACGGACGCAAACCTAAAACACAAAAAGAGGTATTTTATTAATATATGAAACACAAAATATGTATTTACCCCTGTTCTCTTTAATGTATGTGTTCTGATCTGCAATAACATTATTCTATACTGGAATAACATTTCAGGTGGCCAAGAGACATGACAATAAAAATAGTATCATTAAATTGTTGGTATGTCTTTCTAAACGTTTTATTTACAATGTAATTTCTTTTTTTTTTTTGTTGTATAACGTTCAGTGTAATTACATACTATTGAAGGAGTACAACAAATTGCATCATGTTGAGGCTGAGTGACAATTAGACAACAGATTACAGGCTGAGTTCACTAATAACCTGCTTCTGAATCAAAGTGCTTAACTGTCCGAGCCTGTAAGAGCCTACACAGTTTATTTAGTTCAGACAGACAAATGTGTCACTGACATGGCAGGGGGAGTTTTTCGTTTGCAAAGTTGTGCGTGAATCATCTGTCATTATCATAGTAAAAATTGTCCCAAAGTTCAATACAAACAGTTAATTTGTCTTTGGTACTAGTATGCAAAGCTACACAAGCTACACAGCTAAACAGTACTTTAGTTCTGCCAGCAAGCAAAATCAAATGGTCCAGTCTAATATTTCTCAAGACATGCAATGTGATGGCCAAAGAGCTCTGCACTTTTTGATATGATATTTTGCATTTTAAACCACATTTTGTTTTTTTTGGGCTAATGTTCAAATTTAACTTTTATGGTGTGTGGTGTATATGAGAGTGGTTATAGCCCAGACTGAGAGACTGGTACTTGTAAGGGCAAATTAGACTTGTAAGGCCAATGTTTCAATATTACTGGTGTACTTTGGGGTAGGATAAGTTTAATTATTAGGTGGTACATGATGTTAAAAGTTTTAGAAAATGTTTATGTGTATATAAGTATATGTGGATTTTATAAGATACATGTTTCCGATATGGTTCTAATTCAAATCGCTAAACATGTGCACTACTTACTCATCACCGCGAATGTCCTGTCCGTTGAGCAGGTTTTTTCCACTTGGTGCGTAATCCCAATAGTCTTCCACTATACCCACATAGTAGACCCTCTGCCGGCCGCTCTGCCCGGCCACTGCCCACACGAGCTGAAAGAGCAAACAAGCGCTTAAGGCCAACTCCGTCTGGGCCATGTTTGAGAGGAACGCGCCCCGAGATGACCACAATCAGGGGCGAAAAGAAATCACAACCCGCGTAACTTCCCCATGCGTAAATGCGTAAATGAAAGAGGGCTGCGCTTAACGACGATTTATGAAACTCAAAGCACCACAGTCGGCTCATTCAGAGCGACGACCGCCTCCTGTGGGATCAGACGAGAAGGGATAATAAGCGCTCTATCTGGTGCTGATAATTGTTGTAGGATATGTTCTGTAATGCCTCCCGGGAAATTAAAGTAATCGGTGTACTTACCCAAAAAAGCAGACAGCAACATCTTTAATTGTTGCTCGATCCTCTCCAGGGAGAAGGTGATTGGCCCCATCACTGTTATTTGAGAGACAAGCATGTCCCATAATTACACCCTCAAACAGCTTCCAATAAGATAGAAAATATTTGATGTTTAGGTTTAAATTTAGCTGTAGTCCTATTGAAATCTAATCCAAAACTTTTAAAAAAGTATGCAAATTAGGTATGTATTCACATGACCCTAAATTGTAATATGAACAAAATATAATCATTATTTATCAGTACAGTTGGCTTGTTGACATCATCTCAGGTAAATCGTACTCTTTTCTATGGAGTATCCGCGACAGTAGCCTGATGAGTTTGGTCCGCCTCCATACAGGTCCTGAGTGCGTGGACGCGCCCGGGCGCGCTCCCGCGGCCCAGCAGTCCAGAGTCATGGCTGCTCTCAGCAAGATCCCACACAGTTGTTATGAAATCGGCCACACTTGGGACACGTCCTGTACGCGCGCCGCGGTGGATGTCGCCAGGGGCGCTTTGGAGGTCTCCTTTAAGATATACGCCCCCCTTTACTTGGTAAGTTTTGCATTTACAAGCATCGCTCAAGTGCTACCATGGTTAGCAAAACAAGCTAACTACTTACAGGAATCTGCCTTGTTATGTTAAAGATTAGCTGACAAGTCGATAACCTGCACTTAGATTGGCCCACAGGTTCAAGTTCACACACTTGTGTTGTTAGTGACGGAATCAAAACTCTCCGATGACACTAAACACAAACCGCACTAGGACGTTTTGCAGCAGCTGCCAAAATCCACGATCTCAGAAGTGAACAGTTTGTGTGTTGATGCCTTTAAATGTATATTGCACTACAGATTATATCAGATATGTGTATCATCATTCCATTGCAGGCTGCTGCTGTGTTGAGGAGAAGAAAAAAGGATTACTATTATAAAAGACTTATTCCAGAGATTCTACAGTCAACTTCTTTCCTCACGGCCAATGGAAGTCTCTATATAGTGTTCTTTTGCATTCTCAGGTGAGACATGAACTCTACTTTGGTTTTATTAACAAGTGACTCATTACATCAACCGTACTCAGCACTTTGCAGTCCGTGCAATGTTCTGTAAAGCCATTTAATGCAAATTGAAATATAAGCTCCACTGCCTGTTCTACTCTTAGAAAATTGTTGGGTGGTTTTTACTCATGGTCAGCTGGTTTCGGCTCAGCCTTACCCGCCTCATACATCGCCATCCTCCTGGAGCGCAAGAGCAGGTGACAGCCTTGTGTTGCATAAATGTTGGAAGAAATAATCATTTTTATTTATTGTAAATGTTTTTTAATTTTATATTTTCAGGAGAGGGCTCTTGACAATATACATGGCAAATCTTGTGAGTGCCTTCTGTCAACTTAATTTTCATTGATTGTAACAAAATATTACAATGCGTTCTTTTTACCAGGCCACCGAGGCACTGTTTCGCATGGCAGTCACTCGAGGCATCGTCCAACCTGTCAATCACGGAGAAGTAAGTACAACAATAAGAATCTCAAGAGGTGTAAGAGAAGACAGATTTAATACTAGACATGTATATTTACTATTAGAGGTGCAACGGTTTGAAAAAATCACGGTTCGGTTCGTACCTCGGTTCAGAGGCCACGGTTCGGTTCATTTTTCGGTTCATTTTTCAAAAAAAAAGTTTTGTCTTTTTAATAAACACAGCTCATGTGGACTCGGCACCTGCTCTGACTGCCCCCCCTGACCTAGAAATGAATTAAGGGGAAGGAAATGGATGGATGGATGGCATATTCCATCCATCCAATTATGTCTATTTAACATAATTAATGAAAAACAACACAAAGTGCAACATAAAAAGGCACTTTATGAGGATATTTACCCTCATATATTAAACCGCCTTCCTGATTCTCCCGAGCAGGCGCTCCATTCTGGGCCCAGCCTCATTCACTGCATTTATTTAATTTTTGGCATTATCAGTTGTGACTGGAATATTAGTACTTTGTCTTCCATTCCTCCGCTGCTTGTGTCAGTACCTGCGCTGTGTGACTGTGTGACGGTGTGACTGTCGTAGAGGGGGCGTGTCTTCAGCGCCAGACTTCTCATCTCCCAGTCTGCGGTGATGAAGTGAGCGGTTCCGCTCATGGATCTATTATAGGGTCCGCGGGACGTCCAAGCGTCAGTCGTGAGCGCAGCTGAGGATGTGCGGGAGAGTTGACTTTAGCCCGGTCTGACTGTGCGTAAAGGAGCTGCTTAAACGCCGCGACAACAAGCGGTCGTTGAGACGCTTTTTTCACTCATGTCTTTCTTGTGCCACAGTGCTTACACATCGTGACAGTTTTGTCGAATATTAATTATCAGTGTAGTTACAGTGAAGCCAAAATGCTCTCATACTGGGGATTTAAATGATGCGGGGCTTTCAAGCATCTCCGTTCCTCCGCTCGCCGTGACCGCGCTGTGTGTGGACTGAACAACGTGCGCACAACTTTTTTTTCATAAATCAAACCGCGGATCACGTCTGTACCGAACCGAAGACGTTGAACCGAACGGATCACGGATCAGTGATGAACCGTTGCACCTCTATTTACTATCTACTGGAGTCTGCAAATTTTTCTGTGAAACAGAGTATTTAGACCTAATAACAAACATCAACATGCCTCTTAATTATTCCTAATGAATTGCTTTTTCCTGGATATAATTTTTTCTGGCTCCATTATTCCAGAAGTAAATTGCAGTCATTTTAAATATGTTTCTTTGTATTTAAGGTGCTTTTGTTCTGCATAACAGCGTCTCTGTATACGTTTTTCTTCAGGTCAGTTTTATTATTATTAAAGTGTTCATATTGGGGTTTTTTTGTTTTATTTCACAAATAACTAATTTATGTTGTAGGAGGAAAGATGGCCTTGAAGGTTTTGCTTTTTCTGCATTAAAGTGAGTAGTTAATATATAGTTCCAATATTATTATACTAAACTTTATTCATGACACTTTATTTCACATTACTCAAGATGTTCCGAAGCAGTCTCTGATCTGACATTTTATAGATAAACAAAGATAAACACAAAGTTGTAATGGGTAACATAACGTGATATGTTTTTACTTGTTTGTGGACAGGTTCATCATTGGGAAAGAGGAGATCCCATCACATCCCGGTGCAAGAGACCAGAGTCTGAGACCCCAGGAGACGCCTGCTGCCGTAGAAGCAGTAAATCCACCGCCTCCAGGACAAAGGGCCAGAAGGAAAAATCTGATCACTTACACCAGAGAGCTGCTAGAATCCATGTAAAAAACAAAACACGGCCTCTTACACAGCATAATTAAGTTCCCAGGATTCAATGTGAAAGGTTTTTGTCTGACTTCCACAGATGCAAACAAGGCCCAAGACACAGATGCTGCAAACATTACCATGATAACTGCATCTCCTACTGTGTCAAAGTAAAATCAAATACAACGATTTGGTGCACAGACCATTTACAACCGTAATCTATGTGTTCTTTCCCTCTCCAGGGTTTCATTAGGATGTTCAGCATTGGATATCTTATTCAGTGTTGTTTAAAAGTGCCCTCCGCCTTTAGACAGATGTTCACCAAACCATCATGTCTGCCATCACTTTTCTACAACAAGGAAAACTTTCAGCTTGGGGCTTTCCTGGGCTCTTTTGTTAGCATATACAAGGTTTCTTTAAGTGACAATTTTCATGAAGTCTAAATTATGTAGTGCAATAGGCAGCCCATATTTTTTGTGATTAAATGCATTCTATTTTTCACTTTTAGGGAACAAGTTGCCTCTTACGCTGGCTACGTAATATTGATGATGAGATTCATGCTCTCATAGCAGGTAAAGCAGGCTTGTTTAAAATAATAATCTCCAATGTCTATTTGTTGTAAGGATTTATTTTTTCCTCACCTTCAGGCTTTCTGGCTGGATTGTCGATGTTCTTTTACAAGAGCACAACAATATCGATGTACCTCTTTTCAAAGTTAGTTGAGGTAAAAATAATCCATATTTAAAATGGTATCTTGTTTAACTTATTCAATTACTTCATCAATACATGTTTTGGCCCCATAGACGATGTACTTCAAGGGCATTGAGGCTGGCCAGGTCCCTTACTTTCCTCATGCAGACACAGTTTTGTACGCCGTCTCCACAGCTATTTGCTTCCAAGCTGTAAGAAAAGTATTCATTTATCAATCAATTTGGTCTTCACATTATTATGAATTAAGTTGTCTATTAAAGGCTGTTATGGAAGTGCAAAACCTCAGACCATCATACTGGAAGTTTCTGCTTCGTTTGACAAAAGGGAGGTATGGATGACTCGTATTTGTTTAAAACGTTTTAGTGTTATTTACTTTTTTTGTGTTATTTACATCAACATTTAATTCTAGGTTTGCGCTAATGAACCGCCATGTCTTGGATGTATTTGGAACTCAAGCTTCCAGAGATTTTAAAGGTTTCATTCCCATACTGGACCCAAGATTCGTAGTCGCTAGCCAAATGTTTGGAGATGGCATCCAGCTGGGATGACCTGGGACCTTTTCACTTGCTCTTAAACTTGAGACTCTGATGACTTAAATGTACTCACTAAAATATTTGTCTGTGTGACTGTAATAATGCAGTTACAACATTTAGGATTTTGGTGAAAATTTGCTAAAATCAAGAAAACAAAATAGCAATCGGGGGTAGACTACTGGAAATGTTTGACGAGGGAGAAAAGCACTTGAGCTTATGTAGCATTTCTAAACATGTCGAGAGCACTAACAATTTGGGAGACTGCAACAAAACATCTTTTGTTAAATTGATGGAACTTCACAGTTTTGTAATGTTAGTGTCTACACATGATTTGTTTGAAGAGTATAACAAGAAGCTACTAATATGTATAAAATGTGATATGCAAATATACATTGACCCAAGTTAAATGTGTTTTGTATGGATATTTCCAAAAGTTGTTTGATTACTATTGTTTTTAATGTAATAATTGTATACAAGTTATTTTAAGTGTAAAATGATTACTGGTTCACTAGTTCTTAAAGTTGCAGCAAATCAATGACTGAATAATTTACTAAATGCACCAGCAAAATGTGAGAAAACAAGTTCACACCCACCTCTTTTAGTTTTTCATTTATATTTGAGAAGTATAGTTATTGACAGCAATTATAGCCAAATAGAATTTGTAAGGTTAAATCAGTACTTAAGAGTGCATACACTTGAATACATGCTTATGTTTGCTTACAGTAAAGTAAGTAAGTAAGCTTTATTTATATACCGCCTTTCACAGACCAGAGTCACAAAGCGGTTTACAATTGTTATTTTTTGGGCACTTGTCCTCTCACTCCTCACAGAGATGGGAGCGGGGTCGCCGAACAGGAGGCGCATGCCAGACCTACAGAAACTTACAGATGATTTTCAGCTTTAGACACATATTACCTCCACACCAGAAGCCATTACACAAATGCAGTGTATCTTCAATGGACTACACATTAATATGTGTTATCATATTCTGTTGTATTCATTTAATCTTTTTGTATTAAAAGTTATATTACACATTATAATTACTTGATGTTCTATTTTTTTTATTGCATTAATTTGCATCCAAACTTTAAGGAATCATTTAGTGAAGTAGGATATTTGGCTTTTTTTCAGATGACAAATGTATGACTTTTTTCAATGTGCATTCAGGAAAAAAGATTCATCCTCCCTCACATTCCACAAGGAACTATGTTGCTTTCCCTCCTCTGTTACCTCTGAGAAAATGACATTACAGCAGCTTAGTTTGTGAGGCCTCTAATTTGTTTATGATATATTTCTATTGTCTGTTTTTGTAATTATTTGTACTGATATTTGTTATATTTGCCTGTTGCCATGTTTTTAACCATCACGTGTGGTAAAAGTTAGGCCTACTGAATGTTCTTCAAAGTAAAATATTTATATTTTCTTCCCAATGATTTTGAGGGCAATCCCTTGATATTATCATAAAATTATGCATTAACTACCTTCCAATATACATACACATTCTAATGCCAATTATATGAAGATTTTTAACTAATTACACTTGACACAACTTTTATTTTGACAGTTCAATACCGGAAATAGGAAGTGAGTTGAATCTTGTTCTGTTTACAGACCTCAAACCGAACTCGTGTCATCTGTTTTTAACATTACTCAAAAGCAAGCATTTTATAGATACAATGGGGGGTAAAAATAAACAACGAACTAAAGGGAATGTCCGGGTGAGTAACATTATACTGTGTACTAGGGCTGTAGTAATGAAATACTTTACTAGTCGAAACATTTGATGCTAACACGGTCTGCTGCTAAAGGCGTGCTTCCACTGGTCGACTTCACGACTTACCAACATGTAGTTACGTTAAGTGTATATACTTTATAGTTTATTTTTCCCATCTACTAGCCGTCCAGCAGCGGACGAGCCGCAGAGGTCCTTGCCCGCGAAGGAGGCGTCATTCCCGGGTTTGTTGGTTTTGACACCACGGTCACTTCTGAGCTCAGTTATGTCCCAGCTGTCCACGGTGCTGAGGACATTGACAATCTAGTGGACGCTGATTTTCGTCTGGTGCTTCGAAAGCTTTCCAAAAGAGACAGTGTTACAAGATTAAAGGTGAATAACCGAATGTTCTTCACATGTGCATTCCTAGTTTTGTTATCCTTGTTTGGATTTATATTATTGGGTGATATTTAATTGAGATTATGTCTCAGGCAGTGCAGGACTTCGGAGCCATGTGTCAGGAACGTGATGCAGAAGATGTGAAAGGGGTATTGCCATATTGGCCAAGAATTTACTGCAAAATATCAATGGTGAGAATACTTCTCTTATCTGTCATTCTTCCTCACATGTGACATGATGCTTGATGGTATTTTGTCAGGATTATGACCGACGTATTAGAGAAGCAACTCAAATTGCCTTTGAGCAGCTGGTTTTGAAAGTCCGACGCAACTTAGCTCCTTTTTTGAAGAGCCTAATGGGACACTGGATTCTGTCACAGTGCGACACATATTCGCCGGCAGCATCAGCCGCTTGGCGTGCTTTTCAGGCTGCTTTTTCACCTACGAAACAACCTGAGGCCCTCAGCTTTTGCAAAGAAGAGATCCTCGGTGTAAGAACATGTAATGAGAACTTTGTGAAGTGAAACTGTATAATCACATTTTTTATGATTTTACTATATCAGGTACTTCAAGACATTTTGTTAAAAGAAACCGCAAGCACTTTAAGTGATCCACAGTAAGTTATCATTTTGCCTTACATTCTAAGAAATGAGAATAATATATCCCATCTTTTTTGTTTTAGAACTGCGACAGAGGAAGAAAGGGAAGCTAAATATGTACGTATGCTGACCAGTTCTCTTCTTGGTGTGAAGAGGTTGTTGTCACTATTACCTCAAGCTGAAAGAACGTCTTTAGAATCAAAACTAGCAGATTTTCTTAGTTCTGGGAAATTCTGGAAGTACAGCAAACACAAAACTCCTCAGGTAAGGTCAAATCAAGGTGAATGAAACCAAATGCTGGTTTAAACCTATTTCTTTCTCAAAAAAGAGTGTATTTTTATTCCCTACAGGTGCGAGGAGCCTTTTTTGAGTTGGTTTGTGCTCTTTGTGAGTTAACCCCTGCCTTGGCTCAGGCTGAAGCTGCACGGCTCTGTCCTGCTGTTCTCCTGAACATAGATGATGCTGATCCTTTAGTGCTTGCTCCCGTATGGGAGGCAGTTCTTCATGTGCTTTCTTCCATTCCTGTAAGAGCCAGATAGCCCTTGGAAATGTACTTGTGTTATAGTTAATATAAGAACTTTGTTATATTTGTATTTCCTGACAGGATTGCTGGACACATGTAAATGCAAAGAAGGGCTTCATGCCTAAATTGTGGGCTCTTTTAAACGATGGCGGAAAAGGCTTGGCTAAAGCATTTCATCCCAATCTGATGCCTCTTCTTAGTAAACTCCCAACACACATCACTGATCCACAAATTGACTTTTTAACCACTTTTTTCACATCACTTATTCATGGGTAATTTTTGTTTACACATGTTTTTAATCAGAAATCACGGAGAAATGGAACTGAAGTATTCCAATGTTTACATTTCAGCCTAACCAGTGAGCGTGCAGCGTCGAGCCCCTCTGAAAGTGCAGTGATAGTTACTTCAGTTGTGGAATGTTTGCGATACTGTATTCTACAAAATGCACAAGAAGATATGGACCAGAAAAAACTTGTTACCATACTTGTATCGCAACAGGTCAGACTTAATTAATCATTTGTGCTTTTTCCCCCAATAGAATGAATTGCTTTCTAAATGTGTAATCTCTTGTCTCTTCTGTTTGCAGCTTCTGCCTTTGCTGCAGACAGCTCTTACAAGTCCATCTCTTCAGAATGGCCCTCTTTTTCTTTTAGTCACTGAAATGCTTGTCTCCTGGGAAAAGCGAGCAGGACTACACAGCACTGTTGATGTGCACGACAACAGTGATGTCTTTAAAGAACTTGTGACTGACTTCTGGGAGGGACTGTCCTCGCTTTTTGTGCACTATGTTGACAGAGAGGAAACCGACCCAAGGGCCTTTGAAGGAATGGCCCTTTTTTTACAGGTAAGTACAGCTAATAGCTCAAGACAAACTTGGAGCTGACGATGTAAAAATAAAGTATTCGTTTCACCTGTGAAGGTTATGCGGGACCCTGAAAAAGTGAACAGAAAACAGACACAGAAGAAATCTGTCAAGATTTGTTTCACTGGTTCAGAAGAGGATGAAAAAACTGTTGAGGGAAATGGTTCTGAGGGACGTGTGAAGACTGGGACAAGTAGTGACAAGTTGTGTGAACCCCTGCAGACACAGTATTTTGAGGATGTAGTGTGCCAACTGGCTCAACTCTGCCTGGTACATGTGAATGAGAAACACTCTGAAATACACCTTGTTTTTCTGTCGCGCCTCCTGCGGTCCTTCCACACACCCAGAGTCTTTACTGTGAGTCTTCAGTTTGGCATGAAAGCATGTTAGCCCCTATGTATAAGGGACACTAAATATTACTTATTTTTTATTTCTAGACATTGATTGAATTAGAAAAGCAAGATGAACAAAATACTGAGACTATACACTCGATGAACACAAAGAACCCAGCCATGCGTTTCCTTTTGGAGCGAGTGGTGCTGTGGCTGTCCGAGGAGGGTCGCACAGACACTGAGCACCTTGTGGAAATGGTTTTCAGTTCATTACAGTGCTGCAGTCAACAGGAGACCACCCGCATCCTTAACCACATCACCATGGTAATGATATTTCTTTTGCCTCGTGTATGTGTGTGTGTGTGTGTGTGTGTTCTTTAAATTATTTAATATAACTTACATGGTTCTTAAAATGTGTTTTTAGATGAATTTACCGTGGGGTATTACTGTTCAATATATCCAGAGGGTGAGTTCCATTGTGTCATTTCATGATTGTATTTGAACCTCTTTTCTCTCTTGTTGTTTGTTCCATCATTTTAATATGCTATAAAAGCAGATACACAAGGCAACTCAAAGTCTTGTACAAAACAAGATAGAAACAATCACACAAGGCATTAAAATCATAAATGATCACATCAATCAAAAAGGGTTGCTTGATTGGTTGAATTATTGGTTTTTCATTCATCTGTTCTTTCACAGGCTTGTGCAAATCCAGAAACTCTTAAAAATTGTAATGAATGGCTCAAAGGTTCTGTGCTGGGTGAGACTCTGTTAGGGTTGACAGAGGAACTCTGCAAAGTTCAAAGCGTTGCGTCTAACTCATCTTCACCAAACAGCGACAGTTGGAAGCTGATAAGCCTGGTCCTATCGCAGCATCACAACAATGGTAACTTTAGACACCCCTGGCCTTCTCTTTTTAAAACTTTATCTGAAAAGTCCACTTGTGTTTCCACAGTTCCCTTGATTGGAGAGGTGTACATGGAGAAGATTCTTGAGAGGCTGCACAGCACTTTATCTGAAGCCAAGAACCTTTCCGATGCTGGCAACATGGAACCGCTTATTTCATTTGTTTGCGACATGGCTTTGACTTTCTTCTCCTCTGTACAAGATTGTCTCCTACTCGAATCAGCTGAAGAACTGCTCTTCACAGTCTTCAAGCTCACTGCCCAAGATCAAACTCGTACTCATCTTCCTGGTCTGTGCTCTTACAAAACTCGCATCATACACCAATTCAAATGACTAATGATGCGTGTTTTCTTTCCAAAGACTCTCTTGTAGCTAAACTCAAGAAAGTGTGTGTCGCTGGTGTTCAATCATTAGTCCAGTTCTCCACACCAGAGATCAGAGAAAACGGCTTCCTGCAGAGTGCTGTACTTTGGGTGAAAAACCAATTGCTCACTGTCAATTTGGACATTAAAAGGTTTGATTTTAATGAGTCATTGCTTGTTATACTGAATGTGTATTTTTTTTATTTGAGCAAAATTGGTTTTCTTTTGTTCTTAAGTTTGCAGGTTCTTATTGTGTCAATGCAAAGCCTTATAGAGACAATCATTGTAGACGCAAACCAAGACACGGCTCTCCTCATCCAAATCTTCAGTCTGTTGTCCCCCAGTGAGAACGAATGGACAAGAATACGAAGAGCATTGCCTCCCCAGGTAACTCTGTTTTGATTTGAAACTCACAAAAGTTGAAATTTTTATAATTGTCGTGCGTAACTGCACCATCCTCTGGCTTAAATAGTTCTTCTAATAAGACCAGAAGTGTAAAGAAGCTAGTGCTTGTGCTTAAATACATTCAGCGGTAGACTTCTGCCTTGCACATATTTTCTGTAAAAGCTACTCTAGTTATACAATTATTAATTTGATAAACAGAGAAATGCAAAGTACAGAAGGGGAGGGATACATGGAGCCAAATGATCCTGAGTTATCAATTTAAAATCTGTTTATAGTTTATTTGTGGCTAAGGCTTTGTTTTTCTTTTCTTTTTTTACACTATGCATGGATTGTGAGCAATTTAAGATAACATCAATAATGGGCTTTGACTTTCTTTTTTTTGGCTTGGTTTGAACCAAAATTGGACCAAAGGTAAAGAAGGCAGAGTATTGATGACTGATGTGTTAATGATTAATGTGTTTAATAAATTATTACTGGGAAGGGTCCCAGAAATGTGAATCGGGCTGCATGCGGCCCACAGCCTGCCAGGTCTGCCTTAAAAATAAAAATGACTTTACATTTCTGAATATATAAATATATTTTTATGATGGCTCAAAACCACACAAAAACGACCCGTACACACAGAATGCATTAACCACAAACATGAATATATTTCTCTGCCACAGTGGGTGAAGTTGCCTTTACTGTCTGGTCACCTCAGAGCTGTTTGTGAGACGCCATGTTTGGACATGTGGAAATCCAGAGCTCTTACCAGAGTACCAGCCCACCTTTGTGCCAGCGCCATGCTCGGGAAAGTAGCAACACACTTCGATCAAAGTGAAAAAGGAAACTACTTTTCCTCTCCAAATCTTAAGCATGCAGGTATGTGGGCTTAGGGAAACTTAATCCCATAACGCCATGTTTATATTATGCTAATATTAAGTTTGCTTTTTACAGCTGCAGAACTTCTGTACACCCTTCAGTGGTGTAAAGAGGTTGAGTGTAGTCCTTCTGTGGTCGCTGCTTATCACAGTTTGCTGGTGGACTGGGGGTTGTCAGAAGGACTTCGTGGCATGATCCCTGTGAAAGAAATGCTACAGACTCTCTACTCCAGGCATGAAATTTAAATGTGGACTTATCCATTTCCATTGCAGAAGACATTTCTAAACATATAGACAATTTCTTTTTATTCATAGGGGTATAGAAGAAGGAGGTCTGTGGTCTTTGGCTTTAAAAAAATACATCCAAAGCAAAGATACGTTAACACATCAAAGTGCAATCCTAAATAATCTTTACAACCCTGCAGAATGGTAGGTCATTTATTAAGGTGAAAATACTTCCAATCTTAATTATGTATACTTTTGTACAGCTTATTCCCTATATCTGGTGGTAAACTGAGCACTCTCCAAGTCCTTTGCAAATATATGAACATAGAAGACAGAGATAGTTTTGTAGCTCTTGCAACCGCCGGAATCATCAGCTGGGAGGACAACAAAAGTGAGAACAAATATGAGCCATGAACACACAAGTACACATTTAAATTAACATTTCTAAATGACCCAGTTTCAGATGTGTCTGGCTGTATGGCAGTGCTGCTTTGCTGTCTTGAAGCTCAGACATCTGTAGACGATGAGATTGTGCTACAAATCTTGGACATTTTAATGCAGTGGAGAAACTGCAAGGAAGATTGGTTCCTCTTTCACAAGTAAAATATTGAAATGATGGTGGGTGAGAAAAAGTGCAGCAAACTTTTTACTCTCAAATGAATATCTTCTAGTGAATTTTCCCAAGTTTCTTCAGAGGAATTGAACTTGACAGTTGAGATGATTCGTTTTCTTTCGTGGGTGGTCGCACACTTTCCATCTGTTCTTAAAAGCAGCCAGTGGGATTTCATACTCTGCACGATGGTGGCTTGGTTAGAGGTAGGAAGGTTCCTTGGAATGTACTATCCACAAAACTAAGAATGATTTTTACAATGTTCTCTCCTTCAGGCCGTCAGTGAGAACGTGGCTCACCTGTGGAACCCCTGGGTCCAGCTGTTTGTCTGTGAGAATGCAGCACTTGTAGTTAAACTGAACAAGTTCTTTATCGCTCCTCCACCGGATGTTGCAAAGGAACTGCCTAAGGAACTTACAAATGAATGGACGGAATTCTTTGTAGATGGAATATACAGTCTACTGTTGCCTCTGCTCACCAAAATCACAGGTGTGTGTGCTTCTCTTAGTGGAATACCTACTGGAGTTGCAGAGTTTTTGATTGAAAGACAACATCCAGAATATCGGCACATTGTTCAAAATGTTAAGTCAAGATATTAGATCGGGGTTGAGAGTAAAACATGTCCTATAACCATAACTAATGTAATAATAGGATATGTATATATTTGTACCATCATTTACAGTACCCTAACAGCACCTATTTATTTGTCTTGTTATTGCAGATGCTTTCCCTGACCCAGAGGACCCTGTGTTTCCCCTGCAGGTTTTTCAGTCCATAGGGATGGCTCTGACATTTGTGCCCCTAAAACAGCTCACTGCACACTCTCTCCCTCCTCGATTCATTGCTGACCAAAAGACGAACCTTCCTGAAAACCTCCAAACACTTCTTAACACGCTCTGTCCACTGCTGCTGTTCAAAGCACGGTCTTTACAGATCACCATCTACTTAGTGTTAGAGAAGTACGTAACTATCGCCACAATTCACATATTTTGGAGCAGAAGTTGAATTGTGCTGTCGCTGCAGGGTTATGCCAACGCTTCCTGAATGTGATGGAGAAGGAGACAGCAGCAAAAGTGATGATGGCAAAGATGAGCCCTGCCTGTAAGCACGACTTAAATGTGCACGCTTGCCCCAACTAGTTTGGACTGGTTCAATGCGTATGTTTTACTTGTAGGTCTCCTCCAGCATCTTTAATGGCCATCCTTTCGGCCTGTGAGGAGCTATGTGAGAATATCCTCACAGGAGTTCAATTGGGAGAGTTCGCGGTGGTTCAGCCTCTGAGTGTGGAGTACTCGTGTATTCTTGGATATCTGCTGGCATGGAAGCTGCTTCTAACGTTCTTCAGATCTGCTCCTTCTCATGTAAATGGACAATGAGAAGGAAAATTATTTTTTAGTGTGATTATTGGTAATAGACAATCAAACTACACTATATCTTTTCACAGCTGCGAGCGCATTATGCCCAGTTTCTAAAACAAAGCTCCTCCTTGATAAAGCTTCTTCGTCACCTCTTCAAGCTGATGCCCGAGAGTCCTGTTTACCCAGGGGGAGCGGGGGCTGAGACAAAAGAGGCTAAAACCTTCTTTACAGAGAACCTCTCCCTGACTGTGGAGAGTGAGTACTGCGTAAATATTTGTGTCAGCTGATGTGAAATGTAAATACATTATTGCACTCTGGTATTTTATTGGCAGAAAGCCATAGTGCAGAGTGGGAACTCCTCCATTTGGCCTGCAGTGTGTACTACAGCACATTACAGGACTTACCTGCTATGGTGCGACTGTGGTGGAATAGTCAGGAGAAAAGAGTGAGCGCAGCTGTGGAAAAATTCACCATTAAATATGTCAGTCCAGTTCTGTCGGCTCAAGAGATCTCCTCTGTGCAATCCAGTACTCAGATGTTTGACAACATGACTGTAAGTAAATCGGCATTCAGTTGTTTTATTACCCCTCATGTAGCGCACCACTGTCTAGTGGACTTTTAAATGGCCTTAATTTACATGTGTCTAAAAATGTGAGGTACACTTTTTCCACTAGGTGTCACTACAAGAACACATCCATATGTTTTAACATAAACCTATGGGGGTATGGATGAAAAGTTCGACAGTTTTAAAATGATTTCATGGCTGCAGGTTAAAGCCCGCTCGGCTGCGCGGGAGGTGATTGCTACCTATTGTGTGGACGATATCTGCATTGAGCTGGTGATTCAGCTTCCACAAAACTACCCTTTGGGCTCCATCACTGTGGAGAGTGGGAAGCGTGTGGGTGTTTCTGTGCAGCAGTGGAGGAACTGGATGCTGCAACTCAGCACTTACCTTACACACCAGGTAAACAACAATTACACACCAGAGAGTTATTCACTATGTTAATCTTATAGGCTGAGGTGTTGAGGGAAGTCATCTGTCTACTAAATCTATATTATTGAGCCTGTGCCATGACCTGCTGAACAAAGGGTTGAAAAAACAGCTTTAACTTTTTGAGAAGAGTACAAACTTCGCTTGAGGGATTGCAATGGAAAAGTCAAAGTGCGACTGTTTTGTCAAGTGTAAATGTGTGTGTTGTAGAATGGCAGTATAATGGAGGGGCTGGCGCTGTGGAAGAATAATGTGGACAAACGGTTTGAAGGAATAGAGGACTGCATGATCTGCTTCTCTGTCATCCATGGCTCCAACTACTCCCTGCCTAAGAAGGCCTGCCGCACCTGTAAAAAGAAGTTCCATTCAGCCTGTCTGGTGAGAACTATTAAATCCTGAAATAAGTCACGTTGTAGCACCTAGCTGATAATGTTGAACTGTTTTTTCCTCTGCCCACAGTACAAATGGTTCACATCAAGTAACAAGTCAACATGTCCTCTGTGCAGAGAAACCTTCTTTTAAACCACTGCACACAACCCGAAGATGACAGTGTCCACTGACTTTCTTTTTATGGTTGTTTTATGCACACAGTTTAATTTTGCCATGTCAAACCCAATAGTGCAAGAAACACATTTATCATTTAACTCTATGACCAAATGCAACAATGTGTTCCTAATATTTAGGAGTGTAAAGTGCTTATGTCTGATTCTGGACATGCCTTATACAGCAGTACGTTGAAACATTTTAATCTCAGTACATTTGATCAGATTAGTACTAAACATGTAGAGATAAACATGTCTGTTGTCTGTTGAAAGCTGTAAATTACACAAGGAAGAATAAAATGCAGACCTGACCTTCCTCAGTCATTTTCTTTGACTATAATACCTTTTTAATTTAACAACCTTGATGTACATATTAGATCGGTGGCTTATGTTTAATCTGATGTTTTTGGAATGTAATTTTATGTGTTAAGCCTTCACTGGAAAACAGTTTTTAGCCTTAAACTTTATTATTTCATACCCTTTAATATTTTATTTTTCATGTAGTGTTTGTTGACCTTACCCTACCTTTCAATGGAATTATATTTATAGAGTATATATTATATAACATACATTATAGCAATTATTGTAAATTAACCTTTAGCAGTTTCCAAGAAAAGACTGTAATGAGCTGTGCAGCCCTAAGTCTCCTGGTACCAGTCTCCAGTGTTCATTTATCTCAAGTCCACCTCTTCGTCATTGTGAATAATTTATCTACGTATGGAGGCTCGCACTTCACTCGCATCTTGCTCCTATGGAATTAATTATGACAGATTAAGCTTAATCAATGAATGAATCCTTACCATTAGCTGTCGGCTGTCTACTTGTTTGAGTGAGTGTATTTGTCATTCATCTCTAGTCTCATTTTATCGATACACAAAACCTACATCCATCATCATCCGCCCTTGACCTTTTTAATAGGCATTGATTTGTTTGTCGGGCATAAATATTTACTCAGAATTCCCATTGCTTATGAGTTCACACAATAATAATGGACTTCCTGCTCATTATCTGCTTGATTAAACAGTGGCGCCAAATGTTAAGGAAAACATGTTGTGCACACTCCACCTTTAGTGTAATTACAAGTCAATCTATACCACAAGATGGCAGCATTGTTGAACATCACACCCACTGACCGAATGAAGCTATCTTCTGTGTTGGACCCTATGCAATTTCCTACTTCTATCTGGTGGTGCTTAGAGGGCTGGGCTGGGTAGTAGGTAGTAATAGTAAATTGTGGTAGTGGTGGTGGTATCTCAGGAAATGGTTGCCTCAGTCTCAAGCTGAAAGATAATTTTACTATCAGCTTCATATGACATCAATTCACTTTTATTTCAGCATAAATAATTGTTGCAGCCGTGGCTTAAAAAAAAAATCCTGACTTGTTAATTCCTTATTGATTAGACATTTAGACTTATTTGTATTGGCTTTATATTCGTCTTTGTTCTTCTCACACAGATACAGCCAATCCATGTGATGATCAATGTAATTCATACGTTTGTGTTTTCACATTATGATGGCGATAAACAATAGGGCCGATATTGACCCCTAATCTGCAGGCTCCCAGACACGCATTTGTATTAGTCATTATGAGGCTGCCGTGCCACAGTCTAAATCTACTGTTATTACTCTGTCATCACATCCAGGCCCTTTATTACTCTCCATTACCGCAGCCATGTTGAAGCCTGAAGTTGGAGGGCACCCAAGAACAGGGCCTGACGCTATTTCATACAGCAAAAAATCATTTAAAAATACAAGAAAATCTCATTTTTGAATGACACGAAGAGTGAGAATAGATGTTATTCTGCATAAAGTAAAATGTGATAATGGACATTCTGCTGTAATAATCAGAGGTAAAACACAGATCCTGATCCATTGGCTACGTGGAAATACTCTATACCCTATCTACTACTACTACTACTACTACTACTACTACTACTACTACTACTACTTACCCTATCTAAGCAGCTGCATAGGTCCCAATATCACACGAGATGTTACTGAATAACATTAAAGCTTAATAATTTTACTTACAATCTTTATTTAAGAATAACATTTAAAAAGTCTTAGAGATTCAGAATATTCAATATTTTATATTTATTGAAGTCATCTAATGATTGATAAATTATTGTTTTCAAACTTGCATTTATGAAAAAATGTATGCAGGTTTGAATACATAGTTCCCACAGACCAATGAATGTCACATGACCTCCTCGGAGACGCCATCTTTGATGGCACGCTGCTGTGTTTGTGCATTCCATTAAACAGAAGAATGAGAATAAAAGTAGATATTCAAACGCAAATTGGAAAAAAAGGGCAACTTTTGAGCAAAGAATTGTATATTAATACAATGGCACCACAGTTTAACGTGCTACGGACATGTTTTACATATTTGATCAAATTATGCAGCAAAAATTAACAAGCAATGCAAACATTTCTCAAAAACTTTAGATTTAATACCAGTTGGAGCTCCATTTAATTATTTTAATTATATTAACAATTAATTTAATTAATGCTAATGCCACACGGACACTCTGGATTGCTGTTATTGTTTATTTCCGCGTTTTTGACCGTATGTTTTGGTGAATGGTGGGCAACTGATTTTTCCAGGCGTAAAGAGCAGTTTATTTTATGACACAGATCTTTTTACAGAAGCAATGCTGTTTGTGAACATTGTTTTAGCCCACCATAGAACTATTATCATCTATTTAATACATTTACGTTGCCCTCGAGAGCCTCGGACGCGACACCGATCCTCCTCATAATAAAGTAATCTAAATAATGAAACTCTCAAGTTACCAGATATCAGCATACACAAGTTAGTACTGAGTAAATTACGTCTGTCAACACATTATGAGATACGATACGCACCTGACACAAAGTGCTCCGAGCATATTCTTGCGTGTTTTGAGGGAGTTTCTTGCCTGTTTATCTTCGCAAGCCATAACCTCCTTGGTTGTTCTGACAAAAGCTTAGTCTTCTCACATTCATGAAGTCTAATGATGGGTATACTGTAAAATCCAAGTTTAACGGAACCTCCGGCACGATTTGAACATCCATTGACCCAGCAGGAGATGACCATTTTCAACTTTATCACGACATTAACACGTTTCAGCTTCTTTTTCTATTGTTTGCCCACAGAATGCCAACACAAATGGCGCCGGGTCGGCAAATCCCCGTATGTAGTGACGTCATGTGGGAACTATGTATACATAGTTCCCACATGACACATGAGGTCAAACTTGTGTATGCTGATAGCTGGTAACTTTCATTATAGTTTCATTATTTAGCGTTAGATTACTTTATTATGAGGAGGATCGGTGTCGCGTCCGAGGCTCTCGAGGGCAACGTAAATGTATTAAATAGATGATAATAGTTCTATGGTGGGCTAAAACAATGTTCACAAACAGCATTGCTTCTGTAAAAAGATCTGTGTCATAAAATAAACTGCTCTTTACGCCTGGAAAAATCAGTTGCCCACCATTCACCAAAACATACGGTCAAAAACGCGGAAATAAACAACAGCAATCCAGAGTGTCCGTGTGGCATTAGCATTAATTAAATTAATTGTTAATATAATTAAAATAATTAAATGGAGCTCCAACTGGTATTAAATCTAAAGTTTTTGAGAAATGTTTGCATTGCTTGTTAATTTTTGCTGCATAATTTGATCAAATATGTAAAACATGTCCGTAGCACGTTAAACTGTGGTGCCATTGTATTAATATACAATTCTTTGCTCAAAAGTTGCCCTTTTTTTCCAATTTGCGTTTGAATATCTACTTTTATTCTCATTCTTCTGTTTAATGGAATGCACAAACACAGCAGCGTCTCCGAGGAGGTCATGTGACATTCATTGGTCTGTGGGAACTATGTATTGGGGTGAGTTGAAGCAGACACTTTTGCTCCAATTCCCTCTCACTCATTACAAGACACAAAACAATACAGTATAATACACACACTCTGCCAAGATACAGGCCCGAACACCCCGACCCAACACCTCTACCATCCCTTGCTCTGTGTTGAAGGTGTCACTCTTCCCCCTGTGCTTCTGTCACAGGTTTAAAAGTGTCTGTTGAGGGGGTGTGATCATAAAAAGGGAAACTGGATAAAAAAAGGGATAAAATTTAATAAAATATTTACAAAAGGGATCCATAAAAGATGATTAAAAGCCCAGAGTCCGTCCCCACTGTCCTCCGCTCTTCTCACCCGGGACCGGGCCGCAGTTCCGCCAGCCACTAGCCGACCACGGGTCGGCACCGGGCACCCGCGGGGGAGAGCCGGTGTTACGTCGAGCCGCGTTTCCCCGTCAGATACTGTTTCCCCTGCGTCTACTCGCCGCTCCGCCCCGCTCCGCGCCGCTCCGCACCTCGCACGTGGCAAATAGTGCGCGTGCTTGTTCAGCACTCGTAACCAGCGAGCCGTGCTTGCGCGGCGAGGCAACTACAGACACAGTGAAAGCACCTGAGTGATGTTGGCCCCTACCCCACGCAAAACTCAGTGAAAAATAGCCACACTCGTTAGTGCTGGTTTGTGCAGAAAAAATATCGTTTGTGCTGTTTTGGTTTTTCAGGTATGACAACTTTATATTAATATAGCCTATATATATATATATAATATGATATGACAAAGAAATAAATAAATATGTATGTATGTATGTATGTATGTGTATATATATATATATATAGGCTGTTTATATATATATATATTCACAAATATATATATATAAATACATTTATCTATCATGTGTATATATACATGTATTCCCTCAGTGTTAAACAGGGGAAACGCGTCCTTATGGCCAAATTACCCCCGTCAGATACCGTTCCCCCTGTGTTAAACAGGGGAAACGCATCCTGATGGCCAAATAACCCCCGTCAGATACCGTTCCCTCAGTTTTAAACGGGGGAAACGCATCCTGATGGCCAAATTACCCCCGTCAGATACCGTTCCCCCTGTGTTAAACGGGGGAAACGCATCCTG